GTCATATTCAAACTCTAATAATTATATCGTTCAGAAATGTAATTTTTATAATCCAAGTCCAATAAGAAGTATTATTTTTTCCAACAAAAGCACTCTATTTCACTCCACGAGTCATGAAAGTGTTTCCTGTAAAACATGTTTTTGACGAGTCCCTTTGAGTATTATTATGGAATACGCACGTTATATTTCGATTCATCAAATACTACGTAATACACTCAATCAATCGGTGTAACTTATAATTTTATATTAAAAATTCATTTAAATTAATTTGTTTAGTTGTATTATTATTATTTTCGCATTTTATACCTACGTTTCTCTCTACTCGCATTCCCAACACAACCAAATGTTCAACAGGTACTCGTTATATATTGACGTATTTTTTCCCCCATCAGTCAAAACCGTACTGCCGTTTCTACTGAATTAATAATAATATCTATATTCGATGTCGAATTTGTAATAGTATTTTGATTTTTTAACGCAATCAAATATATATTCTGGTTATTTTCGGTTAAGTGTCAATAAAATGTCATGTACGTATCACAACACGCATATTTGTGAGACTTAAGAATTTAATGGTTATAGTCACTAGGTTCGTTGTACAAAAAGTTGAAGTGTTGGTGTAACGTTATATTAGAACCACCGTAGTACTATCTATAATACTATCAATTTTAACGTGTTCTGAGAGGTGTACAAATTTGGAATTTGTGATTCTAAATGCGTACAAATTGAATGATAACCGTTCATAAAATATGTTTAATGAATATGTTGTGTTTGCTAATGTAGCAGACTACATACAGAAGCTATACAGAGTGTCATACAGTGTTATCCATATGCTAATAGTTCTGTCAATATTCAGTTTTTTTTTTTTTTAACCGGGTTTTGTGTGAGGGAGCACAAGTATAGAGAAATTAAATTATTATTGTGATCCCTTAATTACTGAAAAAATAATTTTAAATTTTCAAAATAGCCATTTTATTAAATATATTATTCTAAAAATGTTAATGTATACATTAATATTAACATGTTTCTCAGTTGTAGAGGCTTTAATGTAAAGAAAACAGGCGTACAAATAATTAATATTTAATGGAACATTAGTAATTACCGTGCTAATTGCGATTCCTTATCGCGATAACGTGTTATCCTACTGAAAATGTTTTAAGAACAATTTTGACTAGAAATAAAAACGGCAATTACTAAGAAACTATTATATCGGATATGAATGTATGTTACAATAAAATGTTTCGAATAATATAATTTACAAAATGGCTATTTTGAAAATTTTGAAAAGTGACAAAATACAATTTTTTTTTTTCAATAACTATAAGGGATGCAAATGAAAATTCTATTTTATTCTATATTATATGTGTCCCTTTCGCACAAACCGGATTGACAAAAAAATGTGTAAAAAAAAAAATAAACGAATATTGACAGAATTATTAGCACACGGATAAGATACTGTAGAACATCTTGTATATAACGAGTCGAAAAAAAAAAATAAGTAAATAAATAAACAAACGTTTACAATGGTTTGGAAATGTCTGGAGCTCTAATGGTCAATTTTATTACAAGAGATACCTGTTATACCCGGTATAATAATAATGAACGTGTCCAGAAAACAACCGGTAGGAATTATATTCTGTGGTACCCACTTGGTGGACGTTATTGCTCACAGTGGTGTACACAGAATACATATAACAGAATGTGATTTTCGAAGGGGTTTGCAGAGAGACATTGATCAGCTTGATCAGCCGATTACCGAGTTACGAAAAACGTTCCTGTCCAGTCGGTGTATTTATAATTGATCCGTCGGCGTAACAATGCCCAATACATTCTATGTTGTTTCAGAGCACGTCGACAAAAGGGGGCATTGGCCCGTTTAATTTTGATAGGGGGGGGGGGGGGGGGGCAGTTGCCTCTCATCGCCCTTCCCCCAGTTTACGCCTATAAATCTGACGCCAATAATATTATCATTATAATTATATTTAGAACTCAGTCGTTTTAGTTTTTAGCGTAATATTATATAATTGTTGACTGAGAATTCGTGGCGTTAACGTTTCCGAAAAAAACCTTATTTTTCACGGAGCAAAACTACTTTTCATCGTGTCTCTCTCCCCCCACCCTCCCGTTCGCCGCTATGTCTTACGTGTAAGCTTACGCCACACGAACGCGATAAACGCACACAGAGTAACAGTCATCAGAATTTTACGGTTTATAAGACGTTTGTTGACAAAATATTCGAATCGATCAAACACACTATATAATATAAAGCAAGTGTACTTTCGTCTAAGGACATCGTCGCGTTTTCATCTCGATCGAGTCAAACACACGTGTGTATGTGTGTGTGTGTGTGTGTGTGTGCGACTGACATCTATCGGTCGCCCTCTCGGCGATTTAGGCAACAAATATTCGCAGAATACGATTCGGAATGCGTGCGTCACCGCCGCGGTTAATTGATACCTAACCAATACGGTTATCTTCGGTTGGATATTTTGTTTACTCCGAAAACTTTCGTTTACACCGTAATCAATTCCCATTTAAACAGCGTAACACAATAAACTTACACGTCAAACAGTGTGTGATGCAATGCGCTTTGAATGTTTCGGTGAATACATATTGAACCCGTCTGGTATAATACGTATCGAAGTACCTGCAGTCTGGCTGTATACCAAGGGTGGCCAAACTTTCTTTTGATGGAGATCTACTGCTAAGAATATATTTTTCGTTTGACGATCGACTTCCATAAAAAAATATTAAAATATTGATTTTCTAATAGGTATTAATAATTAACAAGCGTTTACAAATAGTACAATTGAAATGTCAAGTTTATTAATATTAACTGTTGTCACAATTTTTTTAAGACTAACAATAAAATGTTATAAATTAAACTTATATAAAAAAAAAAAAAATTGCTGGTATACATACTATTGAACAGTATTACTTACTAATTTATAAACCGACAACAAAATAATGATCTATTAAGATAAAAATTATTATGCATTTTATTTGATCACTTATTTAAAAAATAATAAATTCTAACAAAGGAAGATCGACGTTGATATCGTTCGCGATGTACCGGTCGATTGTGATCGACCGTTTGGCCGTCCTGCTGTACTAAGTATACGTACACGAACGAGTATTATCAAACCAACGAATACAGTATAATTTTTAATTATCTACCAGTGGCGGCTATCCTACACCACAAGTTTAACGAACGATGTACAGACACTTTTTTATTGGTTCCAGGTGCAAATGTTTAAGAATTTTTAGAAGTATCGAAACCAGGATAATTTATGGTGTATAAACCGAAACCAATCATAACAATAATAATAATAATAATAATAAAAGGAAACGATTCTGATCAGAGCCCAAGTAGCCCAGAATTAAACAAAAAGTAGTCCGATCGTGCGTTGCTATTTGTTGTCAACATTCATTTTTTTAGAAAAACCATTAGGAATGGGGTATATTACAATTGGGCGAAACGTCCGCATTTTTTGTACATTTTTACTTACCAAAATAGTGTTTTTCGAGAAAAAAAATCCACATACTAGTCAAATTAAAATAACTTCTTTTTTATAATTAAGATCTATAAAATAAAAATCGTGTTCATTACACCATATTCGACGGTAACTTTTTTAAAATAAATATATATTGAGAATTTACAATAGTTTTAATATTTTAATAAATTTTCAGGTAACAGCAAAATCAAGTGTTTTTAAACAACATTTTCAACTATCGTATATATTAATATTCTATAGGCTCTCGACTTCCGATTGCGAGATACTCTGCAGTCGTTTATTTTGTGTTTAATTAACGTTGATAAAATAGGTAGTGTACAATATATACACTGTGTCGTAATGTATTTCATCACGTAGGGAAATTTGGCAACAGTTCAAACTGGCTATAGGAAATTAAGCGGTTAAATGGGCCGTTTATACCTATTAAGATAGTCGATAATACTCGGCGAATACCGCATCAAATTCTATTTTTCAGAACACGCTTAATATGTGTGTGTATTGCTTTTGAGTAAAGTACAACGAGCTGCCGCCATAAATAATTTCAGATACGAATGAAAAAAAAAAAAAAAATATTTTCACTGAGTTTCATAAACTCTGTATACATATAAGAAATAACAATTTCGGAATTGTAAATTAACTTATAGAAATTGAATATCATGGTTCGGGGAAAAAATTGTTTTATCGAACAGAAGGAGAAAAGTCAAAATAATATAATACATAAATGATCCCAACAATATCTTGAAAACAAAATAATATGTTTGAGTGGCTTAAACGTTTGGATTATATATTGCCGACCTAGTTAAGTCAAAACAGTAACTTAATACCATTCGAAACAAATATAATATACAAACCTAATAACATATAAATTATTAAATGAAAAAAAAAAAAATAATAATAATAATAAAGAAAGCTATTCCACATGTTCCGGGTTTTATAAAACAGATTTCCGTGTAATTGTCCATTATCTGTAATGTATACCGGTTAAACTTCTGATTTACTAAGAATTCCACGAATTTGACTAAGATACAGTTTAGACACGTACCTAAACGTATGTAAAACGCATCGGATTTTTTGGTATAAAAATTAATCGAGAAGAATATTAATTTAAAACTTTATTGTAACTATTATTTTGTATACGCTAGGTTATTAAATATTTAAAGTTTTAACGAGTTTCGTGATGCGTTTGCGTTATGTGGGGTTGTCCTTTTTTCTTTTTTAATTAATTATTAATAATTGTATTGTCTTACCATGCCATTTTAAATCGATATATTCCGACTTGAATAATAATAACAACATAAACAAATACACCTAAACGAATTTCCATGGGAATTTTAGATACCAATACAGAATATAATATTTTGATTATTTAACATTTGAAATAAACGACCAAATTGAGATAGTTCAATTACCAGTTCAATCATTAATAATACCAGGGTTACTTACCACCTAAGTGCGCCACACCTTAATTCACAATATTAATTACGCATGTCATTCACATAGAGGCACCCCACTTTAAGCTATTGTAGCGATCAAGTGGGACGGACCGCGGAGGGCATAAAGACACCACATGCTTCACATTTTTCTTCACCTCTCTGGGTTTGTCCAATAGAAGTACTTACATTTTACTTACTTGCTCCCATTATACTTTTCTTTCAAAGCTATACAGTTTAGTTGCAATACCATAGGCGGGCTGCTGTATTTGGTTCTCCCTATTACCATACACCTGTTCATGGTACTGGTTGTCACTATTATTTTACCATAGAACGAGTTTATTTCTAAAAAAAAAATATAATATTCCGGTACGTAAACGGCTATACACAACCGTTATCTGATTGTGAATTTAAGTGGACGTGGTCTTAAGACCAACGCCCATTTGTTTACATCCAAAAAAAGGTTGTTTATACTCCTTAAAGAGCATAAGGAAAACATTCACACTTGTATTTAAAGGAGTTAAGCACCGGTAGCTATACACCGACAAGAGTTTCTCTGGTCGCTCAGTGTGTTTTGAAGACTTTTGGTTCGTCTATTGAGTATTTAAAGAGGTGTACATTATACACATTTGTATGATTTATCGATACCTAAACCCCTATATACTTTTCTCCCCATGTTTTGAGCAATGATCTTCTTACGAACTACAAGGAGTTCATCGAGATAAGTGATACCTATTATGTTCTCATAATAGGAAATTAAGGAAAGTAGAAATAGGGTTTTTAAAAAGGTGTTTTCTTCACGGTAGGTATATAAGCCCATCGTCAATAGGTATAGATTTTTAATACGTATATAATATATACAATTATTAATTAGTATACAATTAATATCAAACAAACAATAAATAACTATTTTTATACACACTATTACAATTTTACGACATATTATGTCACGAGTCTAGTCAGGGTAACATCTGCGTATTGTGGCAACACTACTGTCGACCATCTTTACAATAAACGCTCTCATTATACAGCTTACGTACAAAATATTAATATATTATAATACATCACATATCATACCTAAAACATACAAATCCATCCATTAACATAACCCCTTAACATGTATTTCCGTATTCCTCTTTCTTAAATTTTTTAGTCTATTATGCAACCACAATTTCTATATTTGTTACGATTTTCAAAGGAAACAATTTTTCTGGCTATTTGTACGGTAAACGTCAAATGTATTATGTATTAAAATGATTTATTTATTTACTTATTTACTCAAAGTACAGGTTGGTAGCCCAATGGTTACAATTATGAATAAGACTAAAACTAACAAAAAATAAAAGGGTAACACGACATAATTAATTAAGATAGAGAAAAGGAGGGTTCAGCATTAAGTAAGGGGCTCATTAGTAGTGTAGTTAGTTGTAAATATTGAGATGTAGAAAGGGTAGCAACAGAGTGAAGAAAAAGAGGGCACTTTAAAGTTAATGCATTGTAGAAGTTACGGGGAATCTATAAGACATGGCATTAACTTGCTTAGAAAACCTAAATTTGCTCGAACTCTTCTGTGAGCTAAAGAGAACATTTGCAGGGAAGCAAGAACTGGGAAGGAACATTTGGCAGGTGATCTATTTTAAACACAAAACCTGCAATGGACAAGAATTTTCGCTGCCCCCGCTCCATATAAATAGTATAAATATTATACTATAAATAGTGGTATGTGGATTCCATAACACAGACGCATATTCCAAAACAGAGCGTACTAGGGTACAATATAAAGACTTGATTAGCGTAACTATAGAATATAATATTATTATTATTATTATTATTATTATTATTATATTATTATATTATATTGAACCAATAGTTTACTTTATTTACAAAACGTTTGTACAATTTAGTTGAAACGCTTATTTTTGTAAGGATTTATTATTAAGAATAATATTTAAAAATAACAAGCAGAATTTTAACGCACTAAGTTCATCGGAACTTCAAAGGCTTATAAAATATTACGTCCGACAGCTTATCAAAATAAAAATGTATTTTATTTATATCACAGTCATCATTGCAGTCGCGTTTAGAAAAATAGTAGAAGCTCGGATTTAAAATTAAAAATTCACATTAAAAAAAAAAAAAAAAAAAAAAACAATGTTCGAAAATGTGTAAAATGTATGATTATATTCTTGCAAATGTTATCTAATATCAGAAAAACAGGAAAGAATCAAAATCTGGACTAGTAAACCGATTTTTAAATTTTAAATTCAGTTATCATCAATGAAAAACAATGAATAAACAAGGTTATAGTTAAAGTTAATTTCAAAATATAAATGAATTTGAGTAATATTTTCAGGAAAATAATATTTAGTAGTTAAGTTGGTATGTTCACATAATTTTTCGTCTAAATATGTAAATGCAAAAATTATAAGTACCTACACAGTTTTCTTCTACAAACAATTCGTAAATAAGTAATATTGTTTTAGAAATAACTTAAATTTTGAAAAAAATATTTAATTAAGTTGAAATTAATTTCTAAAATTGCAAATTATTTAACTAGTTTAAAGTTAAAAGTTATCAAAAAAAAAAAACAATAAGGTAGTATCTTAACTTTTAACTTTTTCACTCATTATTGTTCGTATTTAGGAACCATGTAACGCAAATGAACCTTGTAGTAAGAAACACCCTGTATATACGTTGACCATTAAACGGCGTGTGACAATTATTTTAAGTGGAAAATGATACTAACAATGTTTTTACTATTCGTGTATATAAAAAACTAAATAACAAAACAACGAAAATATAGTTTTCCGGAAAAGTCGAACCTCCGGGAAATTTTGGAAACCTATCACCTAAGTATATGAGATTTCGGATATTATTTTATTTGTTCTGGATAGATTATTAAGATTTCGTCTGCGTCGAGTGGTGGAAAAAATTAAATAAAACTCTCCCCCCCTAAAATATTCTAATATGGAATGAAATTCACTGCTACCTACTGCCATTATTAAGTCAATTTTATATAATTTCCATTATAATTAACAAGACAATTTTGAAATTTGTTATATGACATAATCACATAATTACTAAGTGGTAGAACATAAGTTTACAAAATGATTTGGTGTGTGAAAAAAGGGACCTTTTTAGTAGAGTTATGACTTAAACGAGTTAACAACACATTTTCAATTTTAAAAGGTGTACCATTTATATTATTATACTGTTATATAAAACTGCACCTCATTATCTTATGTTGAAAGAAAACGATTAGTTATTTCTTCGATTTATGTATTATTAACAATATATATTACATTTTCCCCAAATAATGAATTAGTCCTTTCTTTGACCCGAGGTCCAGATAGGTATACAAAATAGTTAATGTACCGTTTGTTTATATATCCCGTAAAATTTATAACGACGCGTTTTTATTAGTAGTAAACATATATTATTACTACTATTATAATATATTATTAACATATTGCACGTACAATCTTTTACGGACAAGCAATTGAAAACAGATAATACCGCAGTATTATGCTGTACGGAAGAGACCATGTTTTATATTTTTTTTGCCACTTCGATAATCTGAAAATTATTATGAAAATCTCAAAGGGACGACGAGAATTTATAGATTCAAACTCGAGCTTTTCAATGTGGTATTCCGTGAGTTGCGCTCGTTTCTTATAAACACGAATTTCGCTAAAAAATAAATAGGTAGTTTCCGTCATATAAAACTGCATTGTGATTTATAAATGGGCGTTTTTCAAAAATAGTTCGAAGTATGAGGTCATTATTATAATACGACGTGAATCTGAATCTTTATTCGTTCAAGCGTCCCGCAGAATAGGAATTTACTCGAGGGAAAAAAAAATAAATAAAAAATTGCTAACAAGCGATTCGTACTACGGCTAGCATTGTGTTAAACTGCGAGTCTTTTATAGATACAGAAAATAGAGGCGAAATCGGGAATAAAAGATAGAAGAAAAAAAGAATGTTCAAAGACACTGATTAACTGGTTGCTGAGGCCCTTGTGTATAGACAGACTCGATAACGATGAATATTTATCCCCGGTCTTTTTATTTGTATTATTGCCACTAGAGTATTACGTTCCGTAGGAATAATAATATAATCATGTCGCTTGTTATAATATTTTAATGAAAAGTGTGGGTATTTTATATATATAAATATGATTATACACATTTATATGTTATAATAGTTTTTTAATTTTATATTGGTTTTATTTTAATATGTTCTTTTTTTTCTGTCTTTAAACGACTTGTCGACCAAATATTGTATTCCAATCAAAAAATGACAAGAGACAATTTTTGTTAAACTTTTTACCTAGTTAATGCATTAGAGAATTAGTTTTTTAGTTTTTCTAAGAGTTTTAATAATGATTGGGAAACATGTTTGTTGAAAAAAATAACACCTGAAACTGGTAACGGATATGCTACTGTTGTTGATGGGCAATTGGAAAGGTAGGATATACGAGTATAGAGTTGAATTTTAATTTATATCTGTGCGTAACGGTTAACCATTTCAGAAGTAATAACTACATTATTTGAATCAATATAGAACAAAAACTAGGTATATAAGTACACGAAGGGTGAATTTACCTCAAATCGTACTGTCTTAATATTTTTGTTGCGATTGTACGCGTTTATATTTACTTTATCAAGACCACTCGAAATCCGATTATATATTATTGCGTTTACCGCCGTAGGTACCTAAAACGCAGTGTAGTAATGCCATATTGATTGTTTTCAGTAGTTGGAAAAAGTGGTACATAGACATAAAAACTACATAACACTGTAGGGTTTTGGTGTTGGGCATTTTAATTTTGAAAATGGATTTGGATTGGTTGATTGATTATTATTATTGTTATTAGATTTCGGCGGAAGCGATTTAAAATATGCGAAATTAGTTATATATATTGTGCCATGTGATCATCGATCATAGCTGAAAAAAAATCACCTAGTTAATTTGTTAATCAATTAAAACCCGTTTCGAAAATTAATTTCCACCGTATCCAATGCTTACGGTTTTGTCCTTTTTGGCCTTTCGGTCGAAAACGCCGCGTTCCTTATATTCCCCTGAAATGCAGACATCGGACTCAGACAGTAGATAAGTGGAGAAGTCTTATCAATAGGGAGGCCATTTAAATGCAAACAAAAATTTCCGTTTTATGTAAAAATGGAAATAATTTTGAAAACCCGCATTTTGTATCCAGCGCGGCGTCCAGTTATTTTTTAGTTTATGATCCAATACGTTATAGATATTGATATTATGTAAAAAAAAAAAAAATGTTTGTATTGTACTCTCCTTGAATAATTTGTGTAATGCACGTAAAATATTATATTATTAAATATCTATCGTGATGAGGACATTTTGTATATTACAATCATCTTTTTCGCTAAAGATATCCGCGGGGGTGATAAATTTAAATAATACGTTTAAACATCTCGTGCAGGAATTCGACACGAATTAATTAAATATTTACTCGATGAAACACAAGATCATAAGACAGGTAATAAGAAATAACTTAAGTCATTTTTTGTTGCGAATATTGAATTACTGAAACTTCAAATACGAAATATTTTTATAATCATTCGAAATTGCGTTGTTATTGTTTCACTGAAAATAAAACAGTAAGGAGTTATCTCTCTAGAACCGTTCCCCAAAAGGAATTTTATTAAAACTGCAAATATATTATAGGTATTTTTACAAAACTACAGTTGTTTAACATTGCATAGTAATAATAATTGAAACATACATATACATTATTGTAATGTAATTTACGAATTTTCTCAACGCGCACATATTTTGTGAACGGGGTCAAGATTTGTCTTAAATATTAGTTTTCTAAATATAATGGTACATCAATTATTTTATTAAAGGTAGCGATTTATTTATAAATTATTATACAAAAAAAAAAAAAATAAACAAAACAAAATTGAATTATATTATGCCTTTCAACAATGTTGTTGAGGATAAATATTATTACTTGGGTTTGGATATTGATGTACTCAAAACATAAAAATATATATGCATTTATGCACTAAAATATTACCAAATAAGCAATCAAAATACGCACTTAAAATCATAAAACATTCATTTTTGGTTCAAAAAATTACAAAATATGCACAAAAATGTTTTAATTAATTTAACTTTTATTAGTAGTTATTTTTTAATAGATATACATAATTATTTACAATAAAAGTGTTACGGTGTGATGCAATCTTTTTTTTTTCAATTAATATTATATTTTTTCTTTATATTTCGTTTTTAATTAAATTTTTTTTTAAAACAATTTGAAAATGTACTGAAATATGCATTTTTTTTTTAAAAAATTCTAAAATATGAATTTAAATACAAAACCATAAAATATGTAAAGTAAATAATCCTAGGATAATGGGGACGGATGCAGCCATTGTTATAGATAATTTAATATAAGCAACAATAAACCATAGCTTACAAAAAAAATGATTCTGAGCGGAGTTGAGTTAATAGTGATGTTTTGTCAACAATATATGTCATATTATAGTAAAATAATTAAATATACTTTCTATATTTTCTTTAAAAATATTTGTTTAATGTTGTACCGATTTTCCCAGTTTGCCTATGTTTTTCCCAATTTTTCCATGTTATATCCTGGGTTTTAACATTTTCCTGGAAAATTCTTGTGAAAATCGAAAAATAACTTTCTTATAGTATATTTTCAGTCTAATTTCTTTTTAGAAACGTTGCTATCATTATAAATTAGATTAAAATTGCTGGTAGAAAAGTTGTGGACAGAAAAAAAATATCGTAATATTATACAAATATATTTCGTACATTTTCAGATTTTTCAGCTTTTCAACTCTGATAAGAAAGAGAGATCTTGAGAAAATCGAAAAAATGACCTAGGTAGTAAAGTACCACCCACACCGATTCTCTTTCAGAAAAGGTGCCACACTAAAAAATTTGAGCATGTCTTCTGGTAGAACAGTTCCGCTCAGATTAAAAAAAAAATGTATTTGTAAAACCGTAAGTTTCTACGTGCCACTCAGAATATAGTAGTATTATTTTGATTCAATTGAAAATTAATCATATTTGTAGCAAGGTCAGCGTTGTATTGGATAAACAGAAAAAAATATGCAATTTCGTAAACATTCGAACTCTAATTATTACGAATCGTGCTACAATTATCAACAACTAGATCAAAAAAACGTGTAAAACACAGCGTTTTTATACCTACATTATGAAATATAATTAATATTGTATAGGGATAGGTAAACAAATATTTTATATTTACTCAGCCAGTAATTATATATGTAACTATTTGTTATTGTACGAGTAATCGTAATTTCAGTAATTTTCAAAATGTTATACAAATTTATGTGTTTATAAAACGAATAATATAATAAATCTCATAAATGATTAATAAATAGTTAAATACAAACAAATATTGCGTAATATTATACGTGAAAATTAATAACGCAATGAAAGTAAAAACAGTTATAATATTATTATTATCTGCTTATTGCTTTTATTAAACAAAGTTTCATACAGTTTTGCAGATACCCCCGATAACAATATATTATACAATTTTTTTTTCTTAAACTTTTTGACTATTTACTGATCACTCAGAGAATTTCCAATAGGTCGAGGAACATCGTTTTTGTTTTCTTTTAATTTTTTAAATTTGTTTTCGGGAAACAAATGTTTGGGTTGCCACGGATCGTCTATAAAAGGTACACAGACAACCGAGGAATTTATTGGTTTTAATATGATGCGAGCGTTTTTTTTTTTTTTTAATAAGTATTTTAAGTTCAAAAAAATCACTGAATTTCAAAATGTGTTTTTAACCGAACTTTGCTCAGTGTCGTATTTTGTCAGCGAAAATGTATCGATAGATATAAATTAAATTACTTTTTGTATGTTAAATTCTCAGCTTTCCTTCTAAAACAGTGAAAAACATATCAGAAGTATGGGTTTTCTTTTTCTTTTTTTCTCGCCTGTAATCACGTTTTGCAGCATTCGTTTAAGACCCGTACCCATAGACATGCGCATGAGGGAGGCAGGGAAAATATTTGATGTTAAATACAATGGATTCTGCTCAATGTGGGAACGTTGGAACCAGTTACATCTGCCTGCATTAAGCGGTTACCCATTTTAATCGAAATGAGTATCATTATACATTAGAATCGAGACCAGACCATTATGCTCATATAAGGTGACACCTCTTATAAACCGGTGGTCACATTAAACGGAATCCACTGTATTTGTTTTAAACATAAATCTTAATGTCCCTTGATTTTGCGCATTGGTGAAATATAAAAGACTATGGACTCTTTAAAAAATATATTAGGAATATTTAAGTTTATTTGCTTTGTGTAAGATTTGATTTCAAAAATCGTTGCTTTCTCTGCTTAGAGGACATGTGTACACTTACGCTCGTACCTATAATATTTAATCTACATCACTGGACTCGTTTAATTATTTTTATTACACTTGCATACTTATCTATAATTTTTGTATATTAATAATATTATGAACGTTTAGGGAAATTTAGGAATATAATAATATGTTACTCGAGCACATGTACACGATCGTCTTATATTATCACCAAAAAATAAAAAACTGTTGGTATTTTTCAAATATGAAAACAAAAATACGTAATATAGATTTTATTACATCAAAAAAAAAAAAAAAAATTTATGCGAAAAATTCAGTAAAATAATATTAAAGAAAATTAAAAAAAAACGGACATAATTTTGCATCAACTATGGGTCACTGTTGTAGGTAAGGTTAGGAAGGTATAATATAGATGAGGGAAATTAAATTTAATTCTGTATGTAAAGATTAATCATTACTGATAAAAAACAACTCAGAGCAATTCGATTATAAAAGTTTTGAAAGGTCGTCAGAATTTAATTTTAAAACTGTAATAAAAAAAAATATATAAAAAAATAAATAAATATAAACAAATACTACATTAGACTATTTTTTTAATTTTTGACCACAAAGTGCATGATTTATATTGAACTTCTTTTTGAATTGTCAAGTATTTCTGTTTAGTCTAACAATTGTATTCACTGACTACATATCGAATAAAAATTATATAAAAAACTCGCAAAATGAAAATGTCTGTAAGTAGTTTAAAAATGATCAAAAGTTTTGATCCCCTAAAGTACTATCTAAACAATATTTCCTTTCAGAAATCGTTCCACACTTACATATCTGAGAAAGATTCTAGTAAAATGTTTATGCACATTATAAAAAAAATTAAAAAATAAACCTCTTTGTAAAACCAATATATTCTTCATTACACTCGGAATCTAAAATACATATTATTTTTAAAAACTTGGCATTCGTAACGTTTATACAACCTTATTTATTCATCAAAACGATTTAAGACTATTATGTCTACACCCTGTGCAAACTAAATACTCATGCTGTAAAAAAAAAATCGTTTATGTTCAAGATACATATTATATACCAACAGAAATAAATTTTATTCAAATTGGATATGAGTTCCAGATTATTGTATACAATATGGGTATTGAACAAATCTAAAAGGTCGTTTTAATTTTTTATCGAGTTTTTTTTTTTTTGTAAAGAAAAAATTGTATAAGAAAGTTATTTAATAAATCATACCTGAATAATATATTATTTAATTGTACTTCGATTTTCATTTTACTAAACATAGCACATCATAAATCGAGTGATATATTTAAATGGCCAACTTAAAAGGGGCATATAATATAATATTGTCATGATTCCATAAGTCACGAGCATTTTAGTTATAAATACGAGAATATTTTTAAAGTAAGAATATATAAGATTTAAAAAATAAAACCATAAAGTATACCAGTAGGCCCAGTTTTTCTTTATCGTGAACCGTTGACATTTTCTTAGTCAATATTTCATTGTTTGTTCATGGTTTTATTTTTAAATTCAGAGCGTAATCATATGATTACTTTGTAGTTTTTTAACGGTTTTTAATAGCAATTTAAATAGGCGAGTATAAATAGTCTAAAATACATAACATTTTTATGGTGTAAAATGTTTTTTGAAAATGTGTGATATTTAAAAATCAAAAACCTATATCTACCGAACTTATAACTTATTATGTATTAGCATTTGATGTGAAGACGAAGGCAGTGTGTGGTATTTATTGTTTTTGTATCTGTCATGCGTTACTCCCTTTTTAGCATAAACTTTAAATGCTAATGAACAATATCTATTTTTTGTTCAATATTTAACACATTATACGTTAAAATTATTAAACTTTAATATTAAAAACCGTATAACTTTTATTTTCGTACTTCGTACGAAAAATAATCAATTTCATCATATTTAAAATAAAATCCGTTTTTAGATTTCTCGTAAAAAAAGAATAGTAGTTTAGTTTAAAGAAAAGTTTTTTTTTTCCAATCAATTGTTTGCATAAAAAAAAAATTTACTTCTACATTATAGTAGTTATTATATGTGATAAGTTTAAGGAGTTTTCGATAAAGTATGAAAACCTCGTTTAACCGTACTCGAGTAATTCTGTATTGTACAAAGTAGAGGTAGTAGTCTAAAATAGTAAAATCGTTGTTTTATATCGTATAAAAAAAAAGAAGCTAGTCCATTGTGCAGGAGTTTTTATTTGGCAGTTATCGTTTAAAAAAATAGTACAAAATAACTTCTAAATATTCATGTTTTTAACGAATTATATAATAAATTTGAATTTGCAATGATAATGAAAATAAATTACAAATTTATGCTCAATTATTTCTTTGTATTATTATCTATTAACACAACTTATGATTACACACGATTTCTGTGGCAATTTCAAATAGTTATAAATAAGTCCGCAATACGCTGAAATTTAAAATTATTCCACTTTTAAAAAGTGCCAGTATAAAAAGTAGGTGTATGGTGAATATTTTTCATAAGAACCCGTTCGTTTTGCCTAAACTAATTCACCACCATTGCTTTGACATACCCAACAAGATATTTCTTTTTCCTCCTGCTTTCTTTAAACTAATAAACTAATAATTATTGACAATATTGTGTAATATATATATGTGTATGTGCCGGCAAGATAAATACGAATATTTTCTTATACAAGAAGAAACCTTATTATAAATTGTTATTTGCATTTTAGTTTCAGATTTTACATCTGGTCTGCAGGAAGTCCGGACTTCGTCAAAGTTGGTTAAGTGATGAATTATTGCTAATTAGTTTTAAATAAAAGTTTCTATAGCGATTCAGCCCAATATTGCTAAAATACCTACACTTCAAGTCTTTTTTTTTAAATATACATGTAAAAATTATTTTGTTTTCATTATCTATATAATATTGAAATTTGTACTGGTACCCATATCTTGGTTGCTATGTTTGTGCAATATTTTTTATAGTTTTCAATTTTAGTTTAATTTCAAAAACTGTTGTTATTAAAAGTAATATTTCATTAAATTTGTTTAAAACATTTAAATGAAAAAAAATAATGCTGGAACTGTGTTAAATATTTTAATATAACTATAGAATTTATGTATAATATTATCGAATAAAAACGGTTCCAATAAAGTTTTAGGTAACACAATATAAAAATAAATATTATACAACAATTTTCTGTATCTGTAGGATTTCTTAATTATGTAATCTAATCGAGAACATTAAAAAATGAAAAAAAAAAATGGCCACACTGGATTCTTGTTTGAAGATGAATACGAAAATTGTTCGTTAGAAAAATGGCAAAGAAGACTTATAGACTCGCGACTGGCATAAAATCGACGTTAAATGGACAATGTTTTCGTCATCACGTTACCTTATTGCATTCTTGAAAATGTCCGTTAGACTCTAACACATTATAGCCACGACTACTGTAAGTAAATTAAATATTTCATACTCGGTTACATAGAACCTTTAAAAAAAAAAATCAATATCTTTATTAAATGAAATTAAAATCGAAGTTCTTTCGATAATTTAATTATTGTACGATATTAAATGTAGACATTTTTCGTCTAATGCAAGTATTATATTATTGGGTAGATAATTAATGTAGAAATAAATGAAAATAAGTGTGGACGTTTTTGGTACCTGGGTAATGTAGAATACAAAATCAAAACTATTTAATTTTAAAAATTATAATTTACGTCATAAAAGAAATGGCGGTTTTAATATCGGTAATTATAACGTTACCACTCCCTCGGTTTTGGTGGTTTACTTTTCATCTATTTGTCAAATTTTCCACGAAAAAGAGTATTGAATTATATTTTGTCTGTCATATAAATGCTTTTTTCTCTGGTGCTTTTGGGGCATATCTAGCGGCTCCCTTTGGACGAAGTGATCTTAAGACTGAAATGATAAAAATTGGATTGAATTCCAACATGAATTTAACCATGTCGTTGCAGGTGAAGAATATTTGTTTAGATTTGTACACCTTCAAAGATTTCCCAAATCTTCATTTTCCGGGGGATGCAATTTCGTATATTCGAGGCGTGCCATGGCTTTAATATCACGGATGTGCGTTTTGGGGGTTTTTTTCCATTCGTAGTTAACGGTTCTTGTTCCTCCGATTATTCAGCTGAATCTCTTGACGTCATTGGACGAATATACACTCGATGCGATATTATAACAACAGCTGTTGCTGGTCTGCAGTTCAAAATCACCGAGTTTACCGTCTACACATCTGTGCTCACGGCCGGTTAGTCGTATTCCGAAAGCACCTAGCCTAAGTAAGTGCGTTTCTTCTCCTCACTCCTCCCCGTCTTGTACTGGCGTATAATAGTAGGTACTAAGTGTTGTACATATAGAAGCAAACGGAATTATTATATTCATCTATATACGATAATGTGTACAATTTCTATTCAAAACCTTTGAATAGGTAACCACGTAACCAAGTGGGTTTATACTAGAATAATAATATTATTTCTACGGTTGGATATTTTATACAATGACTTGAGTGTGCATGCGCGTATTATGACGTCACACATCATATGTGTTTACTGTATTTGATAATAATAATTATGCTTGTGGAGTTTTTCAAAAAATTTCATTTTAGCTGACTCGACTGAAGGGGATTACCGACGACGATGATGATATTATAGCAAATTGCGCGTAATGAACGCGCTGTTTAACGTTTTCTCCGTTCACACAGACACTCATTCGATAAAAAAAACGAGAAAAAAAAAAGTAATGTCATCGTTCTTCACTAAACGAACTATATTTTAATATAAAAAACGTAACTGTTTTTTTATTTTAAATGATATCAAAGATATGGAACAATTTTTTTTTTACGAAATTAATTATATTATACGTCATATAATACACATCTCAATGAAAATCCAACCGTGAAAAAATGGCCAAGTCCCAAACTACCTTACAATAAATATTGCCTATCAAAATAGTGATATCATGGCCAAAATTGCTTTTAGTATTCTATAACACCTTACTCCTATTTTCATGAGCAACTTTGTTCTTTTATTTGTGTTACTTAATATTTAGCCAGATTCTAGACGTGATATAAAGCAGACTTAGCCAATCAATAAAGTTATCTCTACTTCGATAGACTTACTTTTTTGAGAAGAGCTCTGAAATTTTTTTTTTCTTTTAAGTTATTTCCTTCTTTCGGATTAACTCACATAAATTGTACGCGAGTACATACGTTCCTGATGTTTTATGTCTCATACAAAATATCATCATTCAAATTATATTTAATACAAATAAAAGAATATTGTCGCTCGTAAAAGTAGGAATTTCGAGTGGTTATTAAAATTCTAAAGAAAATACAAACTTGGCCACAATACAGACATTACTACTTTGACCCTTTTACACAGTTAGGTTTTGTTGGGGATATTTTTCTTCTTTCCTGGCTTTAGTATCGTGGGCGGTGTTTTAAATTTGTACAAGACTTTGAAATAAATTATAAATATTGCTTAATATAACGGGCTTAATTTTTTACAATATCCTAAGCTCTGGATGTCTTAATTTATGTTCAAATTTCAAAAGCTCATCTCGAGGAAAAATAGATACATGAGCGTGAAGAAAAACCTCAAGTGAATTTATTTAAGTAAAGATCCAATGGCCTGATTACTGAAACTCAGTATCGCGTATTGCCGTGTGCTCAAATATATAGGTAAGTAGGTAGGCACTAAAACTCGGTATAAAATAAATATATATATATTTTTTTTTTATTGAATTTACTTCAAAAATTATGACTTTTGCACTACGTATTGTATCCGTTATTATATATTATACATGATTTCTAGAATTATTGTATTTACAATGATTTGTGTATTTTTTCTCGAAAAACATTTGTTCAGCAAGTAAATATATTCCGACTCTTTCACACAGTACCTGGAAAGATGCGGAATTTCTACCAGTGGTACTTTATTCGTAATATTAATTAATATTTTAAATATTTCTTCCCCTAGATACTTTTTTTCGAAAATAACTTTTTCGTGTAAATGTTGCTTTAAACTATTCATACCATACATAAGATGCGTATTTTCCGCTTCGTAGTAATTTATGTAAAATAAAAATATGGATCTAGATTCCCAGCAGTAATTTTATAAAATTCAAGAAACTAACAACAAATGTCGATCCATCGGTTTAATTTCTGTAATTTTTTTATAATAATCTTGGTTCTAGAGCAAAACAAAAAACATGATTAATACTACTATTGTTGTTTCTTATTTTCATTGCAAATTTTATGTAGTTCCACATGAGGAAAATCTCACAATTATCAGATGGAAATTCCTCTAATAATATCTAAATACCTTATAGCGGAACTATAGGTATACTATAATGTATATTAAAAGAAAAAAAAAATCGTTTCGGAAAAAGACCGTACAATAGCCTATCAGAATTCACATTGTATGATAACCTGGTTAGTGCCAACGATATTTAATCGTAATTGGTAACACAGCAGTAAATTGCTGTAAATTACCCGTGGTACGTCGCCATTGCACTTTTATGTATACCCAGATGCGGTTTGTTAGCCGACTTATACATTTCCGTCATATACTTACACTCCACAGCGCCAGATCAAAACGGATATAAAGGCACAACACGAGGAGTTGATGACGATCAAGAATGCATTTAATTGTTACTGATAAATCGAAATACATCACTACTGTGATCCGCTTTTCATTAACTTTAAATTTGAGTCTTCACTATTATTTTTAACTGAATAACAACAAAAAAACAAAATCGAAAATAATGAACCCGTTAATGACTTAACCTTTCCTGTTTTTTTCTGAGAAAACAACACGAAAAATCAAAAAAAAAAAAAAACACTGAAAAATGACACATATTATTAAAGAATGCAGTGCGTTCCTCGACATACTTAGAATAAAAAAATTCCAAAAAGTTTACCTTTTTTTTTTAATTTTTATATTAAAGAAAATACCATCATTGTCAGCTTTTTATTATTATTCATTATCAAATATTTACGAACGCAACGACTAAAGAAATGTTGTAAAATGATTGATAAAAAAAAAAATAAAAATAATTGATGTCTTATTTTAACATTTAACCTGCAGACCAACAGATTCGCTTTGCACGCCGCTAAACCGTAAATAAAATATACACCGATAAATAAGAAACACGTCGGGAGTTTGAACAAAAATAAATTTCTAACAAGTGTGAATAACAACTGCAGAGCATACATATCTGAAAACCTATAAATAATTTAAGATGTTATATTTTCGTTTTATTCTCAAAGTATTTTAAAAGAAAAACAAACAAAGATACAACTGATAATATTGGGTGTCGGGCTTCGTTCACCTAAGAGCAAACCGCTCTTCTTTATTTATTGCATGTATGAAATTATTGATAAATCATTTGTAAAATGAGCATGAGCAGCGTAAACTTTCTATATTGTATTTTTTTATTGAGGTTTTTAAAAATCCTAAAAACACAGTCAAGTCGCATCGTTACGAAATTTTTTTTTTTTTGAATATCGGCTAAATCAAATAACCCTAATTTCTTAGGCATTTTAGTCAAATAGACAAAATTATAAATTTAATAATAAATTCAATAATTTACATATAAAATACAATTCGTTATAGAAAAAACTTATTACTATATTCATTAATAATTATTAAAAAAATATTTTATATACAAAAAAAATACACGTCATCGGTATAAATAATTGAAAGTTATTTAAAAAAAAAAAAACAAGATCTGATGAGTGCCACTGTAGTAGGTTGTAAATTGGAAAGGTAGGATACATAGAGTTATTTAATTTACACATGTATACGTATCGCTAAATCAGTGCTGGCGGAATACGATTCTGAACGAATTTCGGTTAAACCTTTATAATAATTTATAATATATATTATGGTGAGACATATTTTAAAATACCGCGATTTTTACGATTTTCGTCGAAAGTTGGACTGAACAGAGCTTATAAAAACAACTAAATTACACTTAACTTTGTGTTTTTAACACTAAAAAGTTAAAATGTATATATATATATATATTATTTATTACTTATTAGAGTCCCTCTGAGAAGACATCAAAATACTTCCACGGTACCTGTCGTAAGAGACGGCGAACGGAGTTGAGTCAGGTCGGTAGCTGGAATAAAAGTCAAACATTATGAGGAGTTCTAAACAAGATTTTGACGGATTGTCACATTTCAGATAAACGGAGAAACAACAGGCGAGAAGAAGTGCATGATGTTTGCAGAGGATATAGCTTTTATAGAAAAAATTTGGGAGGAGTTCATAATAGGCTTGGGGAACGGAAAGTACCAGCGACGTCGAGGGACCGGCAGCAGGAACGGTATTCGGGGGTATTGGTGATGGTCCTTGTGGCCATACTGATGGCAGTCTTCCGGGAGCACTGGCTGCAGTCGTAGGTGTACTGGCATTTCAGCGTCGTTGCTCGCATTAATGATTGCCTTCTCGGCTGCTTAATGTCAGAGGATTCACGAATATAATGTAGCGCTGGTACGTAGAGAGCGAAGTCTATACTATAATCACAGTGATTCTTTGACCTAAGCACGGTGAACACCGAGTTGGCAGAAGGAATGTTTTTCGGTGGTCATTCGTCCGGTACTTATGTATAATGCGACGATGTCGACCGTACAACGGAGCAGGTTTTGTTTAACACTTCCATAGATGATTTGACCATTGGAGATGATGATTCCTGGTGGTAATAATGGTCATTCGTGAACATCTTGGATGGTACCCAGAAGGGAAACAGAAGGGGAAAACCCCTTATTTTGGGGTCCCGAAATAAGGGGGTAAAAGGCGTTTTTGGTTGATTGTCACAGCGTACTTAACTCGCCCGTGTAATAACTATCCTAACATCTATTCATGGTGCATGCGGTTGGTTCGTTGATGATGTGGCAGAGTGATATCTAAACGTATGAGCAATACAGACATGATGCTAGCCCGTGATGTGGACAAATCAGTACTGTACAACCATATTATATGAACTTAAGGGTGATTACACTAATAATACACAGATATAACAGTTATCACGTTATAAATGTAGTCGATAAGGCTCACGATCGTCAAATTAAATGACGGGTTGAAACTTCACGTATTTTCACCAGTTGGCAATCCAGTTGATTACAACTATACGTTAATAACATTTAATATTTGTCATAAATTCAATGAATATTATCAATATTATTCAATTTTCGTCTTAATTATTATCAACGAATTTATGTACCTTTACAAACTGTGTATAATCTCATTGTAATTTTAATTGTCTCTCTTGAACACGTGTTAGCTTCAATTAGTATTTATTTGCATTTTTAGCGCTTTTTTACATACCTAAGTACATATTTTTATTTTGTACACTTCAAATTTTGTACTTAACACTGTGCAAAAAAAAAAAAAAAAAAAATGCTTGTATTTCAATACGAATTTATATAGGATTTAAGTAAATAATAGATAGATAGATAGATAGATAGATCATAAAAACTCTGTTAAAATCTATTTCGCTAGAATAACAGTTAATAAATAATAATACTTAATTGGCATATTATGATGTATTAAAAGATTAAGATAACCCCTTAAATTATGGTTCCCGGAGCCAGTGTCCCCTGTCCCCGTCTTATAAATGCGTACCTGATTGGTTTTAACGTGTTATACACGAAACGAGTCTAATACGCGGTATATCCCTGCGAATAAGTCTGTTGGTATACATACAGGTACCGCTGCACATTAATTATAATATACTCGAATATTAATTATAATATACTCGTATATTATTAAATTAAATATCAGCGATTTGCGAACAGGTACGTGCGACAGACGTTATGAAAACGGCGTGACAAATAATGGAAGTTATAATAAATTAAAATTATAAGGTGTTTTGTGAGTTATTATTATTGAATCAAATTAGCGAGCAAGGGAAAAGACGCCCCCCTGGAGGGGAGTTACGCGAAAACCTCTGAGCGGTATTATTACGATTGTCAAAAACAGAACGCGGTGGGTGTAACACGCCATGCAGAAAAGACGTGTATAATATGTGAATACGAATATTGTTTTGAAAGGATTACGTAAAGCGTAAAAGAAGTTTATTCAATGGGACTCAGCGGTACAATATTATATAAGATAATATACCTACTCACGTAGGTGCCTAACAAAAAAAAAAAAAAACCTCGCTTATAACGATTAATTTAATGAATAATCGAGAACGCTGATGGATTGTAAAATCACAATATTATTATTAGGTATACAATATTTTGTTTATATTACTATTAGTTTTGTAAAAAAAAAAAAGTTCATCGTGCGAACTATATTTATATAAAATAACATCTTATTATAAAATGACGTTTTTAATTTTCTAGGCACTGCACATTATTTATAACTTGTACAGTTTATTAAAAATGACGGTTAAATAATTTTTAAATTTGTTTTTCTAAGTACCGGATATCTCGCTTCAAATCTCAAGTGGAGTAAAAAGGCTTGAAGATTTTACACGAGGTTCATCGATAGAACTTAGTGGCGGAAAAAATTTTAAGCGTAATGTAGTAGAATTTTTCAATGAACTTTTTTAAGCAAATATCTTAATGAAAATCGTAAAAACCACAGAATTTCAAAACCCGTTTAATTAAACTTCGCTCAGATCGATTATCGTTACTACTTTTTATCTTTCCCACCGTTCCAATTTATTTATAATATAATTTCAGAATATTTAAATCTGTATTCCGTATACTATATATTATATTAACAATACAATTATTAAAGAACGTTTTGATCAACCGAAATAAAAAATATATATATACCTATATAATATTTTTATATTTTATTTTTTAATTTAATCAGCTCGAGCAAAAACTTCTTATACGATTAAATCCTATAAAAAAAAAAAATTAATTTTTACGCTTCTGTAAAAAAAAAAAAAGAAGGTAGGTTTTTTTTTTGCTTCTACTGTGATATCACACAGACTGTTAAGTTTTTTCGTCTTCGTGTCAGTGACATTATAAAGAACAAAACAAATTATTAGATTAAACTCTCCATTGTAATCAACGGTTTCTGGAAAATATATTTTAATTTTTCACTCAGACAGCGGCAGACCACCTCTTTTGATTATTTCTAGGGTAGAAGCCGAAGCAATCACATAAATACGTTCATACACTACACCTACACACATAATATTACAAACGTGCGTTTACACCCACATAAAAAAAAAAACACCCGATTTCGTATGTAATAATTTTTATTTTAGATTAAGAAATACAATTCAAAAGCGTATGTAATTTTTTTTCAAGTTCTTGCGCGAGAACTTCGATCACGCGTATTTCAACGAATTTTGAAGAATTCGTAAAAAAAAAAAATCTATACGCCTATATCTGAAATTTCTCGGTACGTATTTCATTGTTTACCAAAACATATTGATACCCGTTTTGTTAAAAATTATGTTCTTCATTTTTTTTTTTTTTGTACATTTTAGGAAGAAATTTTCAAGGAGTTTTCGGAATTTCGTATTCAACATTTTTGAAATTTCTCGTATACAAAAAACTATTAAGTAGGTAATGGTGTAAGTACCTACTTGTATTGCATTTATGGTGAAACTAACGTGATATATTTGGAACCACTAGATTTCCTGTTTAATAATCTATGAGAACGATTAAATCGATACCGACGTCCGACGATGTACCGTTCGCCTACACCTATGGAATTTTTCTAGATTAAAAGAAGTTCCATCTGTAAAATATCGGTTACATTTTTTGTTCCAATATTATCGAAGTAAACTGAAATTATAAACAGTAAAAAACAATTTTATCGCAGGTATTTAGAAATTTTTAGGCTTAAAGCGGTTTTTTTTTTTTTTTTTGGAAATTACCATATTCCCGATCCCCAGCCAAAGTAAATTATTGGACTATCATAACTGTTCGACAAAATATCTTCACGCCCTGTTTATCACGTGTCACTGTGAATTCGATGAAAACAATTACATAATGTTACTTGCAAATTGCAACACGCATCGTATAAAACTTTTCTTTTCCATAGAAATCACGAGCTATCTGCGCTTTTCGTAGAAACTAACGAGCTCTCTTCGGTGTCTTCGGGCTGTCACAAGACCCACTTGTGCGGAATAAATTTAAACAATTATCATTTCCATATAGTATATACACTATACTCGTACAGTAAGTGTATCGTATAATAAAATATTACAATATAAAAAGTAAAATTATATTTTCCCTTCATTACTAATTTGTCGGTATCGCAGTATTGTCAGTACAGTACGCGTAGTTATAGGTAAACGTAAAAGTTTTTATTTCCAAATAGCTTTTCGCCAGCGAGTGTCGTCTTTTGCTCTTGGATTTCCGTCCTGCGCCGGACCCCTTATAATCTAATTCCTCATATATTATTTATTTTATGTTTTATCTCGGAGTTTCCGAAAGTATAGTACCTGCACTATATATATATATATATATTTAAGATCAGGTCGTACAGTAATATAGCATTAAGATGATACATAAACATCCGCGCCGCACTCTGACGGTTTATAGAATTGTTTAATGCAGATAACTATTCATACAAGTAGAACGCAGTATCTACTCTCGTTTCGCTATACTCACTTTATGTTGCGAAACAATAGTAATCCCGTAACAGAATAATTGTATTTAATTTGAACGCGTTTAAAGAGGAGGGTTTTTTTTTTCAATATAATAATATGTAAGTACAAGTACTTTGTAGGTTTACAGGTAATCGATTTAAATCGTAAATTTAAATATAATAAAATAAATCGTAAATTAATGATAACAGCGTGCGGACGGAGAAAAAAAAAACGCGAAAATATACACAATTCTTAAGACGTTTGGAAGTAATAATATTATCGTATATTATATTACCGCATGACTATTCTGGAGTTTTGCACCGGCTTGGCCCGAATACTTTAGCGCTGATAGAAGACTTGTGGTTAATTTATTTTTTCTGTAACGTCTCATTGTCGGTGTTATCGATTTTCCCGAACTATTAAAACTGATCAACTTTAAAGTTCCAACCTTCCATGCCCGTCACGTGTATTTGTTTTCTTTACCTGTATGCACCACTAGTTAAGAAAAAGAGCCCAAACGTGGGGCAAAAGGGTTTCACGAACCACTTACGAAACTCTATTAAAATTCCACTTTCACCATAATTTTCATGAAATTTCGAGGGGGGGGGGGGGGGTTGGACCCTATCCCCGTTCAGCCTTCCATATGTGCCCGACCAAAATATCGTTATAAAATTGAGCCGAACGGCGTCCGGCGGTAGTCCCGACGGGTCTGCGAGTNCCACTTACGAAACTCTATTAAAATTCCACTTTCACCATAATTTTCATGAAATTTCGGGGGGGGGGGAGGTTGGACCTTATCCCCGTTCGGCCTTCCATATGTGCCCGACCAAAATATCATTATAAAATTGAGCCGAACGGCGTCCGGCGGTAGTCCCGACGGGTCTGCGAGTATGACATAATAATCGTAACACCCCCGAAATATGACCTAAGTAATTTTATGCAATATTGCGAAATCGCTATAGCTTCTATTTAGACGTTTACGGCATTTTTAGAATTTCGAACACATTATAACAATACGAGTATAATACGTGCCTTTTCTGCATTTGGCGGCTCGTATAATATTACTGTACCTATTGTATTAAATTGCGCGTATATAGTCGATAAAATAATTACGTTGCGACGCGATAAAACGAACCGTAACAGAACGTCAACGGCGCATAGCCGGTCGTCGTCGCAGTACACTCGGTCGCGAACGGGAATTAACGAGAGACTATTTTGACGGTGGACGGATATAATTCGAGCGAATAAAAACGTCCCGGCGAGAAGACTCGAGCCGGATGAGGCGAGCATATTATTTATAGTTTCCGGTCGATTATGTCGAGAATTCGACGAGGAATATTATTTAGCGCGCGCGGTGCATTATATACGCGTATAATATACTAAATGACTGTCGGAAAACGCGCCCTTGTGACTGATTATATTTTATCCGAAGTGATGCCGCGCGCGGCCCCATAACGAGCCGATCCGATGATTCGGATCGTTTTGCCCGAAAATATCGTTGCTGCGAACGCGCGTATTAAACTGTTGTAATTACACTATGTATACGTAACACTAATATTAATTAATTGTCTCGGCGTTTAAAACGGCTTGAAACGTTATTCGGGCCGGGAGTGGATTTTCCCACGGAGATTTGTTCACAGTCACCACCCCCCCCCCCTCACCCGACAGTTGACACCGTGACACCGCTAACTACTACAACTGTTTTAGATACCGAGTGATTATGGTTAAGCTTATGGTTTTACAATGATGTTTATTTTACTATATTATTTTTTTCTTTGAACCACTTTTCTATCGGCGATTTTGCTCAGATTTACAACGATAAAACTTTTCCTGAAAGAAAATCTGACTGGGATGATAAGTACTGTAGAGAGTTTTTTTTTTTTTTTTTGATTTCCCCAGGAGTTTTCCAAATAAACGGGGAAAACCGGAAAAAAAACACAGTAAAATAGGTACAATATTAAACAAAATATGACAAAAATATTGTTGACAAAGCAACACTATCAACTGAACTCCGTACAGAATCGTTTTCTCGTTAGTTATGATTTATCGTTGCTTACAGATATACACTAAATTTCCCCCTACTACCTTCCAAACTTCTCACCTATAACCGTGGTCAACCCACGTGCGAAGTATGTCCGTTTTTTATCCCTACTTTTACTGTTTAGGGGAATCAAATATGCCGGAGGACGATAAAATATTAATTTTACACGGCAGCCGTTTTTAAAAAAAACTTTACGCGAAGAATTATAAAAATATTTTTGTTAGTTTAATAAATTAACTATAATAAACGATAGTTCTTTTATCGTTAAACACTCGTTGTTTCGAAAAATATTGACAATTTAAGAAACAAACGTCTCTTAAATATTACAATACACTTATTTTTTTGATTAACCACTTGATTTTCAAACGGCAACTTTTATTAAAGAATCCATACTGTCTAATCAATACATTTTAGTATTAAAATTTATACTTGAGAAGAATTTTTGTTATACATTTTTAATATAGGTTGCCCTTTTAAAACCAAATTATAAGAATAGGTAATCATTTCACCCCTAAAACTAAGGATGAACAAAAATATAATGGTAATGTAAAATTTTAATGTTGGTTATTTCCTAAATTGCAAAAAAAACTTTTTTTGGAATAAGTTGGTACTTTTCGAAATAATAAGTCTTTAATTATTTTCTGAAAAAAAAAATTTTTTTTTTTTATGAAAGTTTGATCGTAATATGAAATTTGAGGGACTCTGTATACATTGGACGTTAGAAAAACGGTTGATGAACTGCAATGGAAGAACGGGTAAAACATTTTGTACATATATATTTATATTAAATATAGGTACACTATCAAGTTGTCAATTTGAACATTGTGCAAGAACTTTGAGTCACCAAAATTTACCAGTCACTGTCACTCGACTTCGATTATAATTTTATATGTTATAATAAAGTTTTGAATTGATGAGAAGTGAGAGTTGTTATTCTGAAATAATGAAAACGACGACGGTTATAATATTATTATTACATCGAAAAGGTACGCACGTCGTAAATTAATACTTAGTTTGCTCATATTAAATACGTGCGCTGTGATTTTAATAACTCTGTAAAAAGTTATAGAATTTATCGTCGTTTGCATGAAAATCGTATCGTTTCAAAATCATATTTTAAAATGAAAGTATATTTTGATCGTTGTAAAATAGAAAACATATGGAGAATAATATTGTTACGTTTATGTTGTTTATTAAACGCCAAGCGGCAATATTACAAATACAAATATGGTACTAGTTGAACGTGATACGTATGAAAACAAAAGGTTAATATACATAGGTAGGTACTAGTTTGAACATAAAGCGGAACAAAAATTATACACATAAAATGTTAAAATATTCAATTCAACGATAAGAAATATTAAGATATCAGTAGATATCATAATATAGGTATAGCTAAATTGTGATAATATGCGCGGACACATTCTGATTATATTATGTGCGGTTATCATTTTTAGCAAATATTAAAGATGGGCAACATGAACGGAAAACGGTTGTGTTTTATCACGTATTAAATTCTGTAAAAGTGATATCATAAATTATCGTATTGGAGAAACCACGCTGACCAAAAACTCTTACTACTCGATTACTATCATATTAAAAGTTATTAGGTATTTTTAAATTATTGTTCAATGTTCATAAAAATATAGTTAAGATAAACGAGAAAAATGGTCTTATCTTAAAACAAAAGAAAGAAGAAATATTAATTATAAACGAATCGCTATAATAAAACGTCGGGAAATAATATTTTTCACATTATCACAGTAAGTTACATCGATGTTATTTGCAAATATGCATAGTGAAATCAATCTTGTTTAGTATTCGAATAATTTTTATTTAAATACTTTTTGAATGTTTAAAATAATTTAATAATGCATTTTGACAGATATATTTTAAATATATGAAATTTTTTTTAATTTTATTTGAATTCCAGAATATAAAATACTTTTGTTCGAGTTTACCGTTACGTTACTATACCTATTTTCAATTTTAATTATTTTTAAAAGACTATTTCACATTTTGTTCTAAGAATCGTTTATAAGATTTCTTAAAAATATATTTGTGTAACCCAATAGGTTATTCATTTTAATAAACTAATTTACATACAGCTAAAGTCAACCGTAATAGGTTATTAAGCTTATTGGGTGTATCATATTTTTAAACCGTATTTGTGTTTGTATTCAAATAGATAACTTTAAAAGGGAGTATTCAAAAATTTATTCTAAACACGTTGGATAAGTGTTTTTAAAAATAGCTCCCGAAAACGCGAGTCTCAAATGTTTTAGAAACTAAAACTTTTTCGCAAAGCTATATGTGTAATTTTCATACGATAGTCGAGGATATCTGCAGGCAGCTTTTATTATTTTACTCAACCAAAAAAAAGTTGTTAGTATAAAGATATAAGAGTAATGCGGCTTGTTTGTAGATTATATTATTTCTTAGTGAAAAGACAAATAATACAAGATAATATTATGTCTATATGTGCCGATAATAATCATATAAAGTGTACACGTAATACAATTATTATTATTCGCGAGTATAAATCCCAAAGGACGCAATTAATTAGTTCCGGAGTTCCTTTATTCAAATCCCGTAGACGAGCGTAGGTGTACAACTTTTGTAACATTATAATGTAGTAAAGTTCGTAATACGAGTAAGTGTACACATATTGTAAGCCTATTCCAAAAGGGCAAACAATAATATATTAACATTAATATACTACAAAAATAACATAGAGTTCGTCGGAAAGCATTCGCTTTTATTACCAACGGTAGAACAAAACGGTGAGTATTGCATTTTTTTCCTCGTTTATAATATTATATTAATTGAAAAGTTATAGGTAATTATTTTGGGAACAAATCGCATTGGTTTCGACAACACAAATAATATAATATAACGCCTATTATTTGACGAATAAAACAAAATGTCTTGTACGAAATTAAACCATTAAATCCAATTTGAAAGATGCTTGATGGTATCAGGTGAATAGAAATGATTAGCGATTTTGAAGTATTAAGCCAAGTGTGGAAAAAAAAGACTTTTGTGCCGTATTAATCAGTACAATTGGGCGAAGAAGTGGAAAGATGTTCGACCGTCTGCACAAATTAAAGACAGTGATGTTTGGAAAGAAAATATTAATAGGAATACATATAATTCTTTTTAGAAGAATGTATTTAAGAATGCAATTACTTTTATTTTTAAGAAATGTTGAATGCAACTTTATTAATTTTAAACTGAAAGTATTGCATCATCATGACATACTTTATGTTGGTTATACTGTGGTGCAAGTTGGTAACACTATATTAACTACATTAATATGTTACTATAGGTTTATGTGAGTGCATAACAGTCTTGTATCCGGCATCCGCCATTAACCGAAACAGTCGTGTTTAATTTTATCAACAATAAAATGTGTTATGTCATTGTGTTATAATATATTAAATTACTGTTATTTATTCAATGACATCGAAATGCTCATAACAATGTTCATTCAATCAAATCAACTTACAATTCTCTAATTTTTTAATAATTTACTGATAATGCAAAGAAATAAAAAGTTTAATGATATTACTTTGGGTGGTTTTTTTTTTTTTTTTTACAATTTTTCGGACACCGATCGCAAAATATTCGGGTAGTTCGGAATTTTATTTAAGAGGAAGTTTTTTGAATTGTAAAACTCATTTAAAACCGTATCTATAAAAAGACTGAATTAACGAAGGAAACTTTTTTTTTTCGATGTTTCAAACCGATAATAATTGTATTATACTACAATTATGAATAATACTGGTATATTATTTCACTATACTATCAAAAGTAGAGACGAACAGAATAGCACAAGTATCCGACATTCATTTTCAGTGTCTCAGAATTAGGTTCAAATCTAATTTGGTACAATACCATGCTGTAGGCATTGCAGTGAATTCGTAAGTATAAACTCGATAAAATAACTATGAAACCGTAAAATAATAATGGAAATCCCAAACTGGAGTAAATACCGAAATAGCCGGGATCCTTATTATAGGTAGTTATATGAAATCCAATTGAATAAACTATTTTTCACTTCGTGGTAAAATGTTTTTATTTTAAATTAATATTCAACGGATAATGATAGTAATATTATTTTTTCATTTTCGACTAAATATTTTTTGCAGACGATAACGCATATAATATAGTTAGGTACACGATTTACACAATAATAATTGATCGATACAAATTAACAATATATTACGCGGCAAATTATTTATTCAATTTCTTTAATTTAACGCAGTATACAATTATAACAGTTAAAAATATTATCATATTAAAGGATAAAAATATAAATGTACTGACAATAATGTATAAATGCGGTTTGGTAAAAAATGTTGTTAGGGTTATTTAAACAGAATAATGATTGTTGGCGGTACGATTATTAATGACGATCATAAGATATAATTAACGGCATAATTGCACAATTGCATAATATTATTCGTGATTATTAAAATTAGTTTGAATATTGTTGTAACAAAATGAACACAATGAAGACGGTTTTATCATTTGTTATTAAAATTGAATAAATGACTAAATGTATAAAAGTTACAAGTGAAATGTAATAATAGACTTGATAATTTATTCAACAGATCAAACCGGCATTATTGTATTAATCGAATTAGAAATTATGTTTTACTTGTGATAATATGTCTGGTGTTAGAGAAGATTGATTACTACGATAAGGCCTTGCCTTCAGAAACTGTTGATGATGATGAATATGTCACTGTGATATCTAAATACATGCAATAAAATAATATTTCATGTAGGTACTTCTTCTACAGAGATTTCGGAATCGCAATTATGATAGTGTAGATTCCAAATATGTGTACCTATTGTATTTTATTTACTGATTAGGGTTATCAGATTCTGATTGAAACGAAGAATGTATTGGTTTTACCACGGTGTATTTGTTTTTGTGCCTGCATATCAATTTTCTGTCAGAAATCATGGTCGAATTAAAAATTTTTTAGGCAATTTTCTGTAGAATTTTTAATCTTGTTGGCGATTTTAATTTTTTTTTTATTTATATTCATTCTTTCATGTTTCAAATGACACACTTTTCAGCTGTATCAGTTTTTTTTTTTAAATTTCTATTTTTTCTTGTTTTCTCGATTATCTGTATTACAATAAAAATACGGATTTTAGTAATTTCACTGTACAACGAAGGTTAAATATAAATAATTACGAATTTCATACAGCCTAAAATGATATAACGATAATAAGTCAATTTTCCTTCGACGTCAAAATACCATATTTTCATCGTGTTTAACTTTTAACGCGTCCTTATCATTTACTGACAGTTTTAATATTTAGTCGATGAAAAACAACCAAAAAAAAGGTTTTTTCAGTATTTTTTATTTTGATGTATGTTGTTGAGTATAGGAACCTACTTGGTGATTAATATCGAGAATTTTTATATACTAGTCACACGATTGGGACAATGAATGTTAATCCGTTTAACGACAACTTAAAAATTTTTTTCCAGAATTTAATTAGGATTTGTGAAATGTAAATACTGATTTTGTCAAAACTTAAAACTAATGTATTCGTGAAAAACTGGAGTTTTTAACGTGCAGATGAATTTGATAGTCATGATATGAATATTATTATTCGACCCAAGAAAACAGTTTCAAAAATTACGGAGTGAAGTAAAATTTAAAAAAAAATTATTATTATTTTTCGTTTTAAAACATACCGTGCATTTTCGTAAAAGTTGAAACATGATTCCCAGTTACCAAGATTATCTGCGAATATAAGCTTAAACATTAGAATTATATTGAGCCGCAACAAATATATGCTTTTGCGTTGATTTTCCATGGCACAAATCCGAACTGTTCCACTTTTTGATTTTTTCTCCATCGTCATATTATTCTCTTCCGATATTTGATCAAAAAATTATTATTATTTGTGTAATTTATAAGAATTCGAACATTAATAACTATGATAATATTCGACAACTTTCCCGGCATAGATCCAACGTTTTATCCTCGTCATACCCTAAAAGACTAATGAAGCGTTCTAAGGACGATTTGAACTAATTACAATCTTAAATGGTCTACGACAAATCCAACTGGTCTGATCGATTTACATAATACGTTTATATTATCACTTTTTATATTTCCTATTTTTGATAATCACACACGTTTTGCTCTCATTCTCGTCCATCTTAATAATACCATATTCTAATATAATATAAAGCCGATAAATTAAACATTTTATTACACAGCTTCTTTATTTAACTACCTATATTATATTTCAAGGAATTATTTTTATTTTTTCTGATAAAAAACCACACATTTCATGGGAATTGAAAAACGCAATATTTCTATTTAATAGGTTTACCCGTTACGACATATTATTTTAACCATATATACGTTTTTCAAACGAGTGGAAAAAATTAAACTGTTAGAACTAATAAATTTAAATTATTATGAATGAATAATAAAATGAAAAACCGAAAAAGAAAATGCTAGACAAATATAATTTAAATTTTACTATCGAAGAATAAATATAATACAGAGGTATCAATTTGAGTTGATTTGTATCATGTTATTTATTATATTACCCACTATAAAAATGTAATTTAAACAACGATTATATACAATTTAGTTGCCCACTAATATTTTGAACCGTTTTAAAAATTGTTATCTCTTAATTTTTGGCTTATGTATTATAATATATCCCTCGAGGTATACATTATACTATGTTGTTCTGAGTAATATATATGACTATAGGTAGGTATGTAGGTACTAGGCCAGTTGTACGTTTAGACCCGCACACTCACTTCAATTTGCACAAGAATTACAGATTATCATGAAGTACGGCAAAACGGAAGGCAAGACTCCAAGAATTAAAAGCATCCGGGATTATATTCAGGGCATTTCCACTCGGAGGTATACACTCCCACATACACGCGACTACTTGTAAATTATTTCTCATTCCGACCGTCACTGCAGGTACAAACGCTACATACAGCGACCAAAACATAAACGTCTCTTTGAAGAGATGAAGTTTTTTTTTTTACCATTAAATCATTAACAACAAAAAATTAGTATGACATTTTGCTTTGTAACCAACAGCAACGGAAAATCACTAAAGATTACAATTTAGTTGAATTTTTTTTCTTCTAGTTATCCCCGAACTCCTTATATGGTGATAATAAAAATATAATTGCCTATTGGTCACGATGGAACAATTCAATGTGGAAAAAAGACAATTAATTTAACACAAATAATAACTGGTTGACAGACTTAAACTGCGATAAGTTTAAACGAATTTATAATTGCATAACGACAATATTAATTGGAACAAAATCTAATATTCATATCAATTCGTTACCTAAGGAAATTTAAAAAAACTGATATATTTTTTAATCAGTACAGGCATTTTTAAATTTCTACTGTTATGGAACCATTTTAGGAAGAATGTTTTTAAGAAGACTATATATTGAGAAACTTGATTTATGTTTGATAAACTAATGATTTATACCCAAAAGTCAAGTGCTAACGAAAAACGAGCAGAGTATCAATGATATTATATTTCCTTATTAATAACCTCGATCATTAAAAAAAAGGCTGATACTGGGAATGAGAGCGGTCATTGTTATAGGCGAGAATTTGGAAAGGTAGGATACATAAGGTTATTTTATTTATATCTGTAAGCAACGATAAACCATTGTTTGACGAAAGACAATTCCGAGCGCTGTTCGATAATATATAATTTGAAATGCTGCCATTTTTGTTTGCGATTTTCGTTTAAATTTGATTTCAAAATGCTTATTAAAAAAAAAAAGTCATTCGTTGATTTTAAAAATGTCGCCACGTCTTTGTAAGTCCAATATAAGTATTATTACCAAGTTTCAAGTCTCTGCGTGTATTCATAACAGAATTACAGTAAAAAACTCCAAAAAATTTAATTCCCTTACAAGTTAAAAAGTGGCTTTTTTTAGTAAAAAAAAAAAAAAAATGTAGAATTAAATGATCCAATTTTTCACATTCTATTTATATGCATATCTATAGATGGGAGCAAGATTTCTGTTAGAAGAGACACAAAAAAAATATATATATATATATAAAATGATAGTAAAACTAATAGATCCCTCGAAACGCTCCAAATCTAAAACAAACAAATAAAATAATAACAAACATTTGTAATTGATTTACTTTTATAATACAAAAAAAATATTTGTGTGGGTATGCTGTTTTTATTATTATTTATAGCATTGTAAATTCATATCTATTAAATTTATTTCAAGTATAGGAAACACATTTAATTTCTAAACGTATATAAACATTACTTAAATTATTTTAGAAAACTTAGTAGTTACCATCTAGTTAAATTAAATATATAAATTGAAAATAATTTAACTGCAGACCCTTTTTTTTAAATATCTTCCCTCATTCAAGACAAAGACAATGCTATGCAAATAAATGTGAAGTATAAAATATACAAATAAACTAATTGTATTTCTTTGATATACAGTGTGATTCACTAAGCGTGTTCACCCTATTTTTTTGGTTAAATTTCGCATACATTAAAATTCTGATTTTTGGAATTTTTAAATGTAGTCAAAGCCAATATTCTCGGCATAGCATTTAAGAAAACAATTTTACACCAAAATGTATTACTCCATCTATTTATAGGATTTTGAATATAGGTTTTTATTTAAAAAACTAAAGTTAGTATCGCCATAGTGTAGTCCTTAAATTTTGTGAAAAATCTATTAAACATTTAATTATTCGAAAATATCGGCTTTAGCTACACTTAAAAATTAAAAAAATTTAAATTTAAATACATGCAAAATTTAACCAAAAAAAAAAAAAAAAATGGGACGAGCAATATTAATGACATATTTTTATACAAATGATAACAAATAAATGTATTTAAAAATATTTATAAAGTTATATCCCCTTATAAATAATTTAAGTTGCATAGGTAAAGCACGCCAGGTTATATACACAAAATAATAATAATTTTAATAAACAAGTATCGTATCAGAAAAAAAACTAATTGATTTTTGAATTTGATATAATATATTAATTGGTGAAAAATGTTTTGTATTATAGGTAACTATTGTAGACAAAATAATATTTAGCTATAGGATTAAAAATTCTTAACAATATTTTGACCTAATCGTTAGGTATAATTTAATAAAAAAAATATTTTGTAAATATTTTACATTGTGTACCTATATCATAAAGTTTCATGAATAAAATAATATTGAAAAAAAAAACGGATACTAGGGATGAGAGTGGCCATTGTTGTAGGTAAGAAGTTGGGAAGATAGGATACATAAGTTTATTTCATTTATATTTCTAAGCAACGATAAACCATTCCTGAGGAAGGACGTTTCCGTTAGCAATTCGGTAATCCATAATCTGAAGTGCCGTACATTATTTCAACATAAACTTTAAATTAATGGTAAAATAGTAAAAATTAAAAAATTAAAAAAAGGAAATTTTATCACACCTAGGTATGTCCAATATAAGTATTATTACCAAGTTTCAAGTCTTTACGCGTATTTATAATCGAAAGACAGCAAACAAATTTCCGAAAATTAAAATTCCTTAAAGCTCAAAAGTCGCTCAAAAGTTTCCGCGATGATACCTTAAGAAAAAAAAATCAAAAAATTTTTTTTTTTGTGATTTTTTGATTAAATCGTTTTTTCTGGTATAAAACGTCGTCCGTGTTTTTATAAAATAATAAAATCGTGAAATTATATGTTTACCTACGTTTTTTCCCACTAAAGTGCTTTTATTTAATACGTTGGGTCGAAAATCAAAAAAATGACCTCTCTAAAATACCATCTAGACACAACTTGAGCTTTCAGAAAAGCTGCTACATGTAAAATCTGGAGCAATTTTACTAGGAAATAAACGTGTCAACGAACTAGATCAAAGAACATAGAAATAAACAGTATTGTAAAAAAAACAGCTCCCTGGCTACGTTTGGAGTCTAAAAATAATCAATAGTTTAATAAAATTATGCAAGATATTTCATACTGTAGTTATATTAATTGGATAATACATTTTAATTTGTTTTGAATTTTTAACTCTTGAAATTATTACTTATGGATAGAAGATTAATTAAGTATTATAAATATTGATAGGAGTCGAGTTAATAAGTGATGCGGCGTGTAATATTTTCCGCTGAAATATTCATGTTTTTTTCCCTATATACCTCTCGACATTTATAAATACAATAATACATATGTATTAGTGTGTACTCATTGCATTTAAGAAATACTGTTTGCGCAAATCTTTAGTAAAATAATATTCGTTTCTCTTATAAATTATTTAAATCGAATACTGCGATTTAATAATTTAACTTTATTTTAACGATTAAAAAATCCTTGACTAACGGAAGGATGTTACATATTATACGAACGTGAAATGACGGTGTGAGATTAAGAGGGCGGGCGAATTCAAAAAGTTCCGGGAACAATGTGACCTATTATTACATTGACATTTCTAAATAATATCAAAGTTAAACACATTGAAAATTGATCAATTCCACAGATAGATACTCGTGTTTAATACTACTTATTATAAAGTTGTTATCCTTATTCCTCGCACCATCGCGCGACGAAATCGAGGTCCGCAGTACTTAACTAAAACCTGCAGTAGTCGAGTTTAAAACGCTGAAGGACGTTTGTTCTGCGTTATCGCCATGTCGTTATTAAGTTTAATCGCACGATATAATACGTCATTATTCAGTTACGTTAATCCTACTAAATAATAATTGCACGAAGTTTTGCGTAACAGAAAATATCGACGAGTTTCTCCGATATTTTATGATTTCAACCGAACCTGTCAACCGAACGATCGACAATCTATGTTTGTCATACGAGCAAATTTTTACAATATATTATATATTAATAAAGTTTCAAGTGTTCGCTTGTCCGTCGACCGATTGTCTGTTCATCGGCAATAATACGGCAAAGTTATGTATTTGATAATTTATTCTTAGAAAATATTTCGTAATAAAATCAAATAAATAATCGGTAACTATTCAAACCGTCTAGTACACTGCCAAAAATACTGACAAATTTTAAACTACTTATGTGACAAGACTCAACAGTTCGACAGAGAATATTCAGGTATTTTTTATCAGAGGTAGTCAGTTGAATAATTATTTTTTTCGATACCGCATGCCGGTTAATTTGCGTTGTCTCCGATAAAAATTGAGTACCCGCAGACGACAATACACTAACATAAAGTATCGTATTTGATGCATAGTAGATAAGAGGTAAAAGTTATGACACAATCGGTGTACAGAGTGAGAAATTAGACGATTCGATTCGATGACCAATAAACAGAGGTCGCGTATGTTATTATTATGTGATGAGCTTTAACTTTGCTTTTTGCGGTACATTGATAATATGTTAATTAAAATGTCAGAAGCCGAACACTTAACGGTTATGTATAACACGTGAGCGGAAATGATTATTTCCTTTTATTTAAATAGTTTTATCCGCTTGAATGGAATTAATATGAATTCGAATTTTGTTCCGAACAATACCTAGGCAATAAGTCTTCTTCCGACACGGAGTCTGGTCAGATAAGAATTTCAGTTTAAAAAATCCATATTTTCTTTCCCCGAACACATGGAAACATTTAATAATTTTCTATTTTATTCTTAATATTATTGACCTCGAAATCACCGGGAAAAACAAATGTCGACGGATAAACGAGTAGGTACCAACAATTTACGGTATTATCGTTATAATACGTATTGAAATTGATTTTTATTGTTTGCTGAAATATTTATCTAGAATAATTCTACTTCATAGCACAACAAATATAAGAGTGTAAACGGTATTTTTTTTTATTTTTTATTTTTTTGATAGATAACGTTTACTTTATTATTGATTAATTGATGCAGTATAGTTACGTTATAAAGTCGAGTTCGTATTAGCAGTCCATCAGAAACTACTCTTCCTTCGACACTTCGGCTCCGCCAATCGATATCCAATAGTCGTATCGATCGTCGGTTACGGAATATTACGTAATACTCTGAATGTATGTATTTTTTTTTAATTTTTTTTTTTTTTTTTGCACAATCGCTGTATTTAGTTTTCAGAAAATGTTGAGTATGTTTTTGTTTATATGCTCATACTCGCATATAGAGCTGCGCTGTCTAGGTCCGTAAGTAGGTATACGCCTAAATAAATATTGACGTTCCGCTGATTTTATAAATAGAAAGGTTTTGAAATTGTACATTGTGCAAAATTCCAAATACTCCAAACCGTATACAGGTCTGTTTATATATAGGTATATGGATACGTACAATGTAGCTCCTTTTTGTGAAAGCCCATTATTATTGTTTCTTTATAATATACGCGGGAAAAAGAAAACTCTTCGCTGCATTGTCACGGAAATTGTCACGTACAAATTTAACGCGTAAAATATATATAGGCACACGGTTTTTCATTTTGTATGATAATAAGAATGCAAATTTCCATAAGACATCTGCTGCTCGAATAAACGGATCATAGGTCGATTCACTGTCCCGTAAATAAATTTAAAATCGCTCTAAGACCTAAACTTATTTACACACTTTAATCGTATCGTCAATATTGGTAGTCCCTTCTACTTGCATCCGTTCAAAAACATATGTTTTGATTATAACTTTCATCTATAACCTACCATTCTCTTATATTTACTCGCCCCACATACACCACCATTTAAAACGCGTTGTCTTTACATTTTGAATGTTAATATCATTTTATTGGTACTGTAATATACTGAATATTAATAAATAACTTGTAAAATAAAAGGATCACTCTTAAACAGTGTTTCCACCTTAAAACGGCATTTATTAATCCAAAATATTAATTACGCGCGTCGATCACATTGAGGCGCCCGCACAGCTATCGTGGCGAAGTGGGAATCGTCTGTGTGGGAGACCGCGCAGGGAATAAATACGCCATACGCGTCACCCAAAACGCCACTCTGACAGTCTGACCGTGTCCAAGTCAGTTGTCACTTCATTGGGTTCACCCAACAGAAGTGGACATTTTTTCGCTCATTCACTTCAACTATAACTTTTTTTTCAAACCTCTACAATAGTTGTAGATACCGAAGGTGGGCTACTGTATTACAGAATATTTACTGTATTTGGTTCTCCCTATCCTATATATCTAGTAACTGTGCATGTTCTCCATTAAAAAAAACGCTAAAGCTTCTACTGAAGTGTACGAAATTATACAGTAATTGTACAATAATTTATAAACTGTTTTTATTTTTTTTTTGCCCTACTGGGTCATAACAAAGAATCCTTAAGTAGTTAAACTACATTTTTTTGACCAGATATAAACATTTGTTTTTAGCAGCCCATCAAATATCCAAAGAAGTTATATTGGAAGATGTTATTATAGAATTGATTTTACATGTTTGTGATATTTCCGAAGATAATAAAAAATACGATAAATTATGCATAGATAATACTTAAATTGGCTATTTCTTATCGCAGATAATTGCAATATTAAATTTTTAACCTATAATAATAAAATGGTATTTAGGTACATTTATATTCACATATACGTGAACAAAATCAATGTAACAATTAAATTGTAACCAATAAGAATAACATTGATTTTTACAATATTTAATCCTTCCTATATTTATCAAGTAAAAATAATTTGTGTACGCTACAGTTTCAATCAGATGCAAACAATTTTTGTTTTTATTAAATAGCTGAGAATTTATTCTACAAGATGTATGTATGTATTAACAATTCGGTAAAAGTGCGTCATTTTTTGTGGTATGCTTATGAAGCTATAAAAAGACGTTAAAAACTTATCTATTTATGCTAATAATTGTAGTATTATTTAGGAAAAAAAAAATTCTCCATATAGATAATATTTATAACTTTAGTATAGAATAATTTAAAACAATAAATAATAATAAAAAAATAAATTTTCTACTCTGTAAAAAATAAATGAAAAATAACTCACAAGTTCTAAAAGTTTAATTAAAATATATAAGTGTTTTATTCAAATAGCTATAGACGATGCATTAACAAAACAAACTTATTAACTTGAAATTGTAAATTTGTCATCAAAATGATATAGTTATCAATATTCATTAATAATAATAATAATCTGATTAATTTCAAATATTTTTTTCGAGTAGTTTTGGTTGGCTAAATATCAATGTCAGACCATTGGGCAACGGTTTGTAAGAAATCAAAAATGATAACTCCAAAATTTATTTCAACTAATACGTCATATATTTATGTAAATTCCCATTTAAAAATCAAAAGTAGACATTCGTTTCACTGGCAGTCATTAATAATAATAATAATAATAACAATACTAACAACACAATACTATAATTCCTTCAAAGTGATCGTATAAACTAAAATTATAAATGAGTAATTTTTTTGTTACATGAAATAATATGATAAAACGTATTTGTTTAAAGTACGATCATTCAATAAAAGTACAAGTATTTTTAATTGAAAACACATATGTTATTTAAATCATAATTTTATTTTAATGTTATTTGTTTTAGTTTTGCCTTTTATCATTGTTTTTTTTTGTTGTACTTTTGTGAATTCACTACTTGTCAATTCTGTTAATCGTATAAAATAACCGTATCAGAAATATTATTGTATTACTAGACGGCCTTATCCGGCGATTGGTTAAAATAATTAACAATGAACAAGACACACCGTCATTGGCAATATACTGACATTTTACACGAAGTGAAACCGCTAAGACACGCGTTTTCATCTTCAAAAACTCGAGCCATTTAAATAAAAAACAATTCCTCTAAATTGTATTCACCGTTCTAGTTAACACGAACCAAAGTAGTTCAAATACTTTATACGTCGAAAACAACGGTCATGGTCCCTCAAGTTATTTCGAGTCAAGTTTGATTGTATAACGCGTAAAATCATATTTAATTTCGAAATTTGGTATAATTCACCGTGAATCGTGTCTCGTACTCTTGTTACGTGCCCACACGGCTTATTATATATAAGCACGGGTGAGCTCATAGTGAAAACACAGCATCGCGTGCGGACCCGAATCGAAATATCAACGATAAGACAAATGTATAATTTCAACATAAAATTTCATCAGCCGACCTAGAGAAATTAATTCCATGAGATTTAAGAAATTGTCACAACGGAATAATGTAGAGAACGGCGGCTATGAACAATGGGTTGCGGGGGTCTCTCCGAGCATTTATAACGCCGCTGAAAAATCGTTTAAGAGACGAGTCCACCACGATCACATGCGAACAACTTCGCTTCACTCTGTTTATTGTGTTTGGACTTGTATTATTTATGAATTAATTTGGACTTAGAATATATGTGATGTTTTTTAATTAAATTAATTGCACTTAGTATATTTATGAAGATTATTATTACTGGACTTTTATAATTTATTGGAAATATTAATCTATTATTATATCTCAAGTTAGAGTTTTAATTACTTCAAAGCTTTTCTTCCAAGTCTTCGTCCTTACGTTGGGCACGTTACATTCTCGTGAACATGAAACACGAATTGAAACCAAAATCTCAAATAAATTAACTTGTACGGGAGGAAATGTTATGTATCGTGGACATTTGGACAATGACGATAAATTTGTCTACATCTGTGATCCGTCATAAATTCCGATAAACTTTTTCTACTCGTATTTTAATTATGCTGAAATTGCATTAAGAAGCTAATAACCTGTTTGATAAATTGTCGAGTATTTATTGTTTAAATATTCATACTAGCTTTTGTGGTAGGTAAAATAACAGTGAAAAATGATAATCTGTTAAAAATTGTAAGTTTAATCTTATATTATTAAGTAATATATTACTTATGTATAGTTATATATAGTAATATTATATTAGTAATATTATTACTAATATAATTAAATTATTTATATTCGAAAACTAAAAAACAATTTATTATTGAAAAATATATGGTTACATTTTGTTTTATTGGTACTCTGATTATTATAACTATAGTTAAGTTCATAATCATTAGATTACTGATAATAACACTAATAATAGTCATAATAGTTATACGCATATAACGTCACACACCTAAACTCATATTTTTAGAATGGTTTACTACATTTATGGGTGGGTCCGGTCTTGAAATCCTCCTCTTGAGTACGGCCCTGGCAACGAGAATGTTTAATAATATATTACCTAGTTAAAATCTTTTGAGATACCTAAACCATTATGAAAAAAAAACCAGAACTTTTTCACTAACCATAAAAATGTTTTCAGAAAAAAAAACAATTCTATGTAAAAGTGTCTAATAGATTCACCGCTATACTTCAAAGAAATAATTTTAGATAATTTGTATAATATTATGGAAAAGATTTGTTGTACGAAATTGTAGTGATGGTAATATTTTTTTTTTCTAGTTCGTTTTCACTCGTAAGATTGCAAATTCGGCAAAAAATATTTCATCAAACTTTTAATATAAATTGATTCGTATTATAAACTCCAATCAGTTTATTATAATACATTTATTAGCTCGTCGTCGTGGTGTTTGTCGTTCCGGTCGATATAAGTTGATTACACTTTTCAATAGTGGCTTTCCTAAACAATATCAAGTACTCATTAATATTTATATTTCTTGGGAATTATTATAATTGGGTATTGTACTCGATTTTATCCCTATAATATTACAATATATTCATAACGACTCCGCAAACTTTACGCGTTAACATTAGAACGTGGGCAGATGCGATAATCATTGTATTATACGATATATGCCCACGGCATAACGCTCAAGGTTTATAATTTTGTTTTGTTTTGTTTTTTTTTTGCGTTGGTCCATTATTCGTTCATTACCTGTGCAACTTGTAGCGGCGAATTATTATTATTCGAAAAAAACGATTCGTAATTAATCAACGTATCGATTTCGTTTCATAAGGATAATCGATCGGTTTTAAGTATACCTGCTTCGATGATTTACAATATTATAAATTAAACACCTACCAAGGGAGTTGAAATTCTTTTAACAAACTAAAATGGACAAATACCACATAATCATTATATGTAATAAAGTTATTATAGATTCGGAGCGTAGCGAAGAAACTCTGTAAGTTTCAATAAGATGTGGTTTTTTTTTTCTCGGAAAACAATTTTTTGATTAGCAAAAATGCTCCAAATTGTACTCTCAAACAATTTGATCCACATAAAAATCAAATAAAAACTATTAAAGCTCGACAATTTCATATGACTATAAATTGAATAAGATTTTCTTTTTTTTCGATATTTTCCTAAATTTTTAAGGAAATTAAAAGAGAAATAATACAATTATCCCCTTACACAAACTAGTCAACATTTTCTACATGAACATATTCCTGTAATTTTACAACCAAAACAGGATTTATATACATGACGAAATATTTCAGACAGAATAATAATAATAATAATAAAAAAGCCACGCATCATAGTAAAATCAATACATTCCTCATTCCGTTCAGAGTCTAAAACATTTAGTATACTTAATCCAAAGATTAATATTATTATTTATCAGGAGTGACGATAATGGCTAATAGTTACGTTGAACATATATTTGTTAATATTTCTTTGGTCCCAGGTAAAAAAAGAAAGGACTCGTTGAAAGGAATTGTTGACGTTTCATTGTTTACATAACTATGTCATATAAATATTTATCACTTCATATATTGGTTAAACTACAACAATGCATGTAGTTTAAATGGTTAGTTAACTTGTATTGATAAATAGTTACAAAAAATTAACTTAAGTCCTTCTTCCCCGTGACCGAAGTTTTATTAACATAATTTAAACATTTATTTTTTGAAAAGTCAGTTTTATACACAGAAATAATGGTAATATACGACATTCCAAAAGTGTTTTTATAGTTTAAAAATTATTATAATATAAAAAAAAAAAATTTTTAGTAAATTACATTTCTCCGTCCAAACGCGATATAAAATATAAACCGCTGTTTTCACGAAAAAAACAAATTTGTATTTCGGTTAACTCACCCGAACCATAGTAGACATATTCAATACATATATCGAGAATATTTTACCGAATCGGATAGCTCAAAACATAATGTACGGACGATAAAACAATCATTTGGTGATAATCTGGTATGGGAGAATATTATTAATATTGTATGCGTGCGAAATCAAAAACTACTCATGCATCGTTGCTGTATGTAGTCGAATACAACTATGTTTTTAACGTAAAAATAATATTTATAGAAACGCAAAAATATTAATTAAATTACTGTTGTTGTTGTTGTTTTTAGATTTCGAGCGTAGCCAGGAAGCTCTTGGTTTTACAATGTTGTTTATTTCTTTTTTTTTTCTTTTTTTATAGTCTGTGGACCCGTTTTTACCTAGTAAAACTCCTAAAGAACGAGATACAGAAAAAAAAAAGACTTATAATAGTACAATATTTTAAAACCCAAAAAAAGAACATACCTTCGAGTACTTAAAAAAGTAGGCATTTAAATTTATTCCACAAAAAAAACAATATTTGTCTGAATCGAAGGAGGAATAACACGGAATTACGACAACCGTGTTTGATTTGAAGTATATTATTCAAAGTTTTCGGAATAATTTCATTTTTTTTTTTTTTTCATTTTTTTAAAAGAAGTTTTGTATAGACGTACTTTTATTTCACGTGGAAAGTAATTAGTTTTCTTTTTTGTACGTATAAATTCGAATACGTTATAATGTGTACTTTTTAGATTCCGAGCGTAGCGTAGCGAAGAAGCTATTGGTTTTACAATGCTGAATATTTCTTCTTCTTTTTCTTTGTATTTTATTCTAGTCTGTGAACACGTTTTTTTCCTAGTAAAATTGCTCCAGATTTTACATGTAGCAGCTTTTCTAAAAGCTCAAGTTGTGTCTAGATGGTACTTTAGAGAGGTCATTTTTTGATTTTCGACGCAACGTATTAAATAAAAGCACTTAAGTAGGAAAAAACGTAGGGAAAACATATAATTTCAAGATTTCATTATTTTATAAAAACACGGACGACGTTTTCTACCAAAAAAAATGATTTAATCAAAAAATCACAAACACTCTTTTTGTTGCTTTTTTGATTTACTTTCTTACTGTATAATCGCTAAAACTTTTGAGCTACTTTTGGGCTTTAAATGAATTTTAATTTCCGGAAATTTTTTTGCTGTCATTCGGTTATAAATACACGTAAAGACTTGAAACTTGTTAACAATGCTAATATTGGACATACCTAGATGTGATCAAATTTCTTTTTTTAATTTTTTTACAATGGTACTTCATTTTTTTTTTATACTGTAGACCACTTTTATCCTAGAAAACTTGTTCCGTTATATAAGTATAGCACATTTTCTGAAATTCAATTTTATCTACTCAGTAAATACATAGGTCATTTTCTGATTTTCGAAACGGTATTCAGAATAAAAACGATTAACCGGAAAAAAAAATACGATTTTTTCATTTTAATTAAGTATCTACCACGTATTCTACATATATACTTTGAAGTGCCATAATTTTTTTTAATCTAACCTTTCTACGTTATTTCCCGATTATTATGAATGCTAATTCAAAAATCAAAAAAAAACGAACTGCATTATTAAAAACAACATTAATATTTCATCAAAAAAGGTTTCTTGTCGTTTTCCAATTGGAGCCATATTTGTGCTGAATATTAGTACCTAGGTGGTAGGTACTTATTTAAAATAACGCAATAGTAAAAAAATCGTAATTTTTTACCGGTTAATCGTTTTTATTTTAAATACCGTTTCAAAAATTAATTAGTGACCTATGTATTTTCTAAGTAGATAAAATTGACTTTCAGAAATAGTGCTACACTTATACATCGGAACAAGTTTTCTAGAATAAAAGTGGTTAAAAGTATAAAAAATAAAAAACAAATAACTATTGAAGAAAAATTTAAAAAAAGGAAAAAAAGATGTCGATAATTTTGGAAATTTTACCACCACGTCTAGGGTAGTTCAATATAAGTATTATTACTAAGTTTTAAGTTTCTATGAGTATTTATAATCGAATTACAGCAAAAAATAAACTATCGAAAATTAAAATTCTATAAAAGTGGCTCAAAAGTTTTTGCAATGATACTTTAAGATAGTAAATCAAAAAAGCAACAAAAAAGTTTTTTTGTAATTTTTCGATTAAATCATTTTTTTCTGGTAGGAAACGTCGTCCGTATTTTTTTAAAATAATGAAATCGTGAAATTGTACGTTATCCTACGTTTATTTCCTACTTAAGTGCTTTAATTTAACAAATGGCGTCCAAAATCAACAAATGACTCCTCTAAAGTACCATCTAGAGACAACTTGAGCTCTCAGAAAAGTTGCTACACGTAAATATCGGATCAAGTTTATTAGGAAAAAACGTGTCCGCAGACTAGAACAAAGAACATAGAAATAAACAACGTTGTAAAACCAATAGCTCCCCTCGCTGCGCTCGGAATCTAAAACTGAATAACCATACGAAATTTGTTAATGTCTCAAAATTAACTTCACATTTCATTTCTATATATCGTCGCACGGATTTCAATTGACTCAGTACGCATTATTTAATAACGTGTTCATTACTCGGTGATTACTATGTAAAGTTACAAATTTAATCCTTACGTGAAATTTCGTCGATGTCTCGTGTAGCCCCGACTAATCGCGGTGTTTAGCCAAGCGACGCGTCTCACCGAGTTGTTCATCACGAATGTTTGGAAAAAAATTACCTCGACTGACAATAACAATATAACGTGATTAATATGATATGAAATTCATGGAATATCACACGGAACATAAATGGATATTTACGCCACTTACGTGTTCGTGTGCTTTTGTGTTTAAGAAAATCCAAATACGAACAACGAAGACTACGTGGTATACGTAGAATTGCTACTAACGAAAATATAATCCGTGATTTTACCGTGTACGTTGTTGTCGTTCAGATATTCGAAATTATTGTACCGTTACACGTTTATAAATATTGTTATTGATGTGCGGATGATTTTCATAGCGTCCGACACCCCGTGCCATTAGTCGTTTTAACGATTATCACTGATCAGTTGACTGCTTGACTCTTGACTGCTGCAGCAGTTCTCGTCGTGGAGTCACGCGTACGTAATACACTCGTATGGTATTGTAGTGTAGTCGCGCGGTTATTAAATTATTGCTAACGAGTAAACACCATAATGGTTACGAAACAGTTAATTATATTTTCGATTAACATAATAACAGTTTAATTTTAAACCACACATGTTTGAGTTCCTTTCTTATCAATATATATATACTTATTTATTGTTTAAATAATATTGTAATATATGTGGGTACGTAATATATTTACATATTTTAAATTCTACACCCCTTCACCCGTACCCGTCAACTTTAACTGCAATACCGAATGCATATTATGATTTATAACAAATTGCCGATAGTTGATGACAACAAATCGTGATAATAATGTATACATGTCATTTTGAAATCGAGCATTATAAACAGGACTGTTAATAGGCGATAATCATAATCATACATGTGTACTAATTAATAATTTAATAGGTACCTATGTAATGAGATACCTTAAACGAACCTTTACACATAAAATGACTCATTTTGTTTCTACAGTCATGGAGTATAGGTTTAGTTGAGGAAGAAGACACGTACACTGTACTTCTATCTAATCGGTTGATTCGAGATGGCGAAAATGTGTTTTGTCAATGGCTAAAAAAGATAATCGATTTAATGATTAAAATGGCGGAAAATCCGACAAAAGATTTGAAATCTTTTCCTGTAAAAATTATTGAAGAAAATCGTAAGTAATCATATTAAATACCTATGGGTACAACGTACCTACATCATCCTATATATACGTGTATATAATTCAAGATTGTTAAATTAATTTAAACTGGGTTACTTATGAATAAGATATCATAAGGATAAAAAAATATTAATACAAGCATTAGAGTATGATAGAAGCTTATGACGAGGAAAAAGAAAACGTAAAATGAAATTTAAAAAGAATGAACATACTGTATATGATAACCTTGATGAAAGTGGTAAATTAAAAACTGAATTCCCCATATATATGTACAGTTGGGTATTTAATAACAGTTATATGTTTTTTGAAAATTATTTAAAAAAATTGGTTACACATTTTATTAAGTTATTACGCTAATAAGCGTAATAACGCTTATTAGCTGACGCGTGTTAAGCTTATTGTTATGAACAGCAATTTGTAACTTATAGTCCTAACATAATTGCAAATTGTTATTTAAAACAATCAATCATTTTCATCAATGATAAATTAATTTTATAAAAATGTACATTATTAAATAACAGGTACCTATTATAAATTATATTAAATGTTATACAGATATCAGTGCAGTAAAAACGCCTATTAAAATTGTAACGGACATAGAAAATCTTAAAGGTGTACATGCACCCTTTACACAGGATATATTATCAAACAATAATATTATTTTTGGTAAATATGAATATTATCATATATATATATATATTTGTTTTTTTTTTTAACTAATTATTTTCGTTTTTAAAACTTAAAATTGTATATTTATTAGATGCAATCAAATTACTAAATTATACTTCACCAAATAAATATTCAACCAGATGTGTATATAGCAACTACGTCATAAAATATAAACACACAATATGACAAAGAACAATTATATGCGGCATGGTTAACATTAAATAATAATTCTAAGGATAAAATATCGTCTTCTAGTGTTGATGATAATATTTGTAAATATTAGATAGTTAAATTTTTGTAATTTTAAATTAAAAACACGATTTCAATATCTAATTTTAGTACAATACATAATATTTAAACCTTTAACCAATATCAAAACAAACAGCAATCAATGTTGACCATGAACCCAAAAAGCTACTTTCCATTTTATTGTTGATTATGGTAATGATGAAGGAAATTGTAAATTCAGTAACATTCACATACAATTGCAATTTGAATAGTGTGTATGAGAACCGTACAAACTTAGGTAATGCAATTAACATATTAATAGTTACCACAGTATTTCAGTGCATAAGCATTTATAATTCCGTGTTTAAAATGAAACGATATATATTATCTACATAATATGTATCTATATATTTTATTATATTAGTATTACAATAATTAAACTTAATAAAAAAAATCCACCTGATTGAATATCTTGAATTATTGTTTTTGTTACTTAAATATATGAAAATAAATTTAAATATCCTATTTGAAATGATCATTGATATAATTATAAAAACATTGTTAATATTACGAAATGTTTAATAACTATTTTTTCTTAAATAAATCAATAATTGTTTCTCTTATATCTATCATATAATTTATCCGAACAAATTCATTAATTTTAATTCATATTTACTTAATGTCATAGAAGAAAGGGTTGCAAAAGTTATAGATTTATATATTTCATCTAATTCTTTTAAAAAAAAAAATGGATGCCAGAATTGACAAAATAGGAAGACTTCTTGGATTGAATAAGGTAAGATATAGCAATTCTCACCAGACGTTTGATAAAGACTTTATTTCTCCTTTTCTAGTGAAAGGTGTATAAACATTAGTTGATAATAATGATGTTGATACAAAAATTAAAAATGATTCTAAATTTGAATGTCAAATGGCAGGTATATCATATAATATATTCATTTTTTTTTTATTGTGATGTTTAATGATTATATATATATATATATATATATGTAAAATATAAAAAAACATTTTTCTTCTTCTTTTTGCGTCGGTCAGTGGTAGATTTTTAAATTCCTTTCTTCTTCCAGAAATCAGCAATTTTAATTGTATTGTCCTTTGATTGTTGTTCTATAAAATCCTCGATCTCTTCTCTTACTGGTAGTATTGGACAATCCAATAGATGTCTTGCTGTTTGTATGTTCCTGCACTCACAGTCCGCGTTTATTTATTATTACACTGTTCTTCCATTACATTAATTTATATGTGTTAAGTTTAAAACATTTTTTACGTATTATAATTAATAGTTGTAAAGGGTTTAACTTTAACATCTAATGGAAATTATTTTGTGTCAACACATAGCTGTTCTCATTTAGTATACCATATGATTTCTATAAGTCGTCTATGAGTAGTTGGTGATTGGTATAATATGTCATAAGTGGGTTGTTCTATAGCAGTATCATAGGTGATTCCCTTGTGTAGTTCATAGGTAGTTGGGACAATATACTTAGGTACAATAAAAGGCTTTACTGACTACCCATAGTAATCACATTTTGATACCGCATTTGTACTATTGCTCAACCTGGCGTTTGGCATCCATATAAAATCTCTGAAAAGTAAAGAGGTACCTATTTTTAACTTCACAAGTATCAGTGTGATAACTATGTGACTTTTATAACATAGGATTTTGCACACTGGGGTTTCGCTACATCATTAACACCCTCGTTTTGCTATTACCTATGATAATGTATTACGGCTGGATATTGCGAGTGGTTGGAAATGTAAGCCTGCGATGACAAATTTGGTGTGTATCTAAATATTTGTTTTCATATGTTTAATTTCATGAGATTCTGATGAAATTCGGCATTGTCGTAAAGTATAATATTACATTGAGACAATACTTTAATATTAATACCAATGAATGCTGGGAAATGTTTATAAACTTTTAACAAAGTAGTATTTCTAAAATCCAATAAAAAAACCTTGACTTGGAGAAAGTAAAGATATAAAAAATGAAAAGTTATTTAAATTATATCTGTGCGCAACAGTAAATCATTTCTGATAAAATACGACTCTTCATGAAATTTGGCTAAACATGGTTTGAAAGTTTCTGAAATTTCAAAACTGAACTTAAAATACCGTTACACTAGTACATTTATGGTAAATTGATCAATACGTATAAGTTATAATGAACTACATGTTAAATTTTCAAATGTTTCTGTTCTTTCAAACAATTGTATGTATATAAAACCTAATAAAAACAAAAATCAAATTTTAAAAGATTAAAAGCTTATAGATTTTTTCAAAAATCACAAAAATTTTAACCCTTTAGCTAGTCTAGAAGGGGCTAAAATAAATTTTCTGTTAAAATATCAGGTTTTATCGAAGATTTTTAATCGAATTGCAACAAAATCGAAAATAAAGTAATCGTAAATATCGTAAACTTTCCCGTTCTTCCCACATATTTTTCTAGTATAAATAAAATGCTCAGTTAATAAAAAAAAAAAATCGATAATTGACCTATGATAATTCTGCCTGTGTATCAAATATACAAAATTCCATTTGAGAATCCACTTTAATGATTGGAGTAAGAGTTCTGGTAGAAAAGTTGTTTAAAGAGACACAATAAACACAATCTTTACTGCAGTAAAATCAATTATGTACTCCCCACGCATCGGAGGGTATCAGATTCGGCGTGGGGCTCTTTTTGACTTCCTGTGTCGGGTCAACAACCTATCACCGAAGCTTCCAAACAGAGTGTACTTGGTTTTTATTAAAATAGTATGAATTCGGGGAAAAAGTTAAAAACATAATATTTGATGAGCATATTGACATATGGGTACTTATAACTTGTATTTTTAGTAGTTTCTTAATCAAAACCTAAGCACTTTGCGGGGATGTAAAAGTACACTGTAAAACTTCGAATATCAATGGAAATTAGTCGAGACAGGTCTGGTATAACATTGGTGAGTTACAAACTACGTCTCTTCTTCATCCGTTTGTTTTTCTATTGGTAGCGGGGAACTCACGGCGGTTTTTTTTTCGTGATTTTTAAAAAATAAACCGTTCGCCGTTTGAAACGAAGCAACGATTACACGACTATTGCGGACGACAGATTTGTACATGTTAAACAGTTTTGGCCAAAAAATTCACGACAAACAGGTAAAAAAATAATGTAAAATAATTCAAAGAATAAATACTGAAAAAAAAAAAACAGTAAGGAAGACTGATAAGAAAAGTAATAGTGTGAAATTGTTTAATAGAACAACTGCGAAAATAAAGAAAATAATTTTGAAAAAAATTGTTCAAAACGGCCGCTGTTAAGGGGAAGTTGGTTAATACACGTACGTATTATAATGTACGGATATACATGTTTTTAAACAAATTGTTTACTGTCGCACCCCCCTCCCCTAAAAAAAAAAAATAAATTTCAATAGAAATGAATAGCGCTCTCTGAGCTCAGAATCGAAAAAAAAAAAAAAATTGTATGGAAACTGGCCGGACTGTCTGATCTGCGAAACGGTTACTCGCACACCTTCCGACCGTTCGGTTCGCCTTTATCGAATCGTACAACAAACGAATCGAGGATGCATTATAAGCGTGTAACAAAAATAATAATAATAATAATGTTATTATTATTATTACTATTGTAGGTGCGTCGTATGAAATTCTGATTACAAAGTCGACAAAAACATTCCTACGAGGATTATTATATGCGCATTTTATTGTTAGCCGTAGCGCAATATTATACCTTTGTACAGTGTTTTCACCCGGCTTCTGTCGTTCGCTCAAACTTTGCTTTTACACACGCCCCGGTTTTTCGGATTCGCGCTATGCGCCGTAATATACTTTACAGATATGATTATTATTATTATAATATCGTGCGGAATAAAGGCGGTTTCTCTTATATTCTTTTCTAAGTTTTTCAGTCTCCCCCCCCCCTCCCCCCCGTACATACGTTTGTTGTTTCTTCATATTTGACATTCGCGTGGAAACATGCCGAGGATTTAACAATAAACGCATCGGCAAATCATAATATTATTAACGCGGCGTAATTACGCGGCGTGAATTTATTACGGAAATAAAAAACCACCACCCAATCAATGTTTCTTTGTCTGGCGAAATGATTTATCAATGTTTTCCGACTTTTGATGAACATATAATGATAATAATGAATGGAAATTATTAACCTGGCAAAACGGTTCGGTGTATTATTATTATTATATTTTTACGCCGTTTACCGTCTCAGCAAAGGCAATTACCTACCAAAGGGTAAATGCTTTTACGTTTAATTTCCAACGGTCCTCAAGGGGGAAACAAACTTAGATACAGTGCATGATTGGCCAAACGAATTCCGCATTTTTTTTTATTTAAAATTAATTAAAATGGTTTTCAGAAGCTTTTTCTTTTAAGCGTACCTACGTAGTATTTTGTTAGTTGTATTACTTCATCATCCGTTAATATTCATTAAAATATAATGTATACATTCGTATTCGTATACAATATTAAAAATGTTGTAAAAAAAAAATTACCGTCACCTCTAAATGAATGGGTTTTGTTTTTTTGCTTCTTGTTTCTGTTCTTGTTTGTTTGTTGTTTTTTTTTTTTTTTCATTTTTCTTAACAATAAAACCAATAAGCCAAAAGTGACTGCAATAATTGACAAAAATAATTATCTCGAAAAAAATAAATACATCCTACAATAATAAATCAAATAAATGGGACCACAATTCGACATTCCTATTGATTAAAATATCATTATTCTCGTAAGAATGTCACAATGACTTTTACTACGAGAATTTACTGACGATATTATCAATATTTGTTAGCGGACACACTTAACGTTCAACAATATCAAAATGTAACCGATGAGTGTTTATTTTGTATTCGCTGGATATGATAAATAGTACGATATGCATATTATATAAATAAATACAAATCGTTGTAATTGTGTTTGGCAAATATTTTATAAGGGTTTAATGTTTCAAACAGGACTATATAACCAAAGTGTTTTTGATTTGTTTCATTAACAACTGTTGCAAAATTACAAAACTTTTGCCAAAGGAGTTTTATGAAGCTGTCCAAACATTTACTATCCTCGTGTAGAAACTATGTACATATGTATACACTGAAAACACGCATGTGAAATAGGTACCAATAGGATTGGTTATTTCCGTTTTTTGATTATGACTATAACGGAACAAGCTATTAAATAGTTTTACAAAGATGTGTAATTTTTCTCTTGAACGCCGCTTTTACGGTTAGAGAAAATTCTCTATTTTTCTTACGGCGTACTTTAAAAGGTGTGAATGTTGTAACACCTGATGGTACTTTATTTGAAAAATGTTTTCGGAATTTCGAATAATTTTTCCGAAAAATTGCTCTTTTTTTTTAATATCAATGGTTTTCGCCAGGAAGACATGCCTAATACACCGCTCAGAATCGTTTTTCGTTTACAACGATTTATCGTTGCACGCACCATTTAAACGAAATCACTCTGTACATAAACTATATTACTATATTTCCGATTACCGATCTGTTATCAATAATATAGTGGCCTATACGCGTGCATTTTCGACTTTTTTTTTTTTATTATTTTACATATTTAAGAGATATTTTCCTAGATTTTTTTTTTTTGTTTTTTTTTTTTTAATATTTAGTTGAAAGGTTTAGAATAATTAAAAAAATATTCAGTTTGACGGTGACGTAACAAATGCCAATGTCAATACTTATTAAAATAATAAAAAATTCAATGTCCCTATCTAAAAATTTGCATACACGAAATAATTGGATATAACTTTGAAAAATGTTTGATTCGTAAATCGGCTTTTTAGTCATCTGACAGTTTGAATAATGAATTCGGTTTTCATGACAAAAATGTCCCATTATTCATTTACCTAATCTATATTTATCTCTGATGTATGAATTATTATCATAATAATATTAGCCAATGTACACGGTGTAAAAAATTACAACCGTAACAGTAACCGTTGACAAATAAAAAAAATATAAATATTATGTACTTAAGACGCAGGATTATTTTAAAGAGTAGGTAAACAATATAAACCTTAAAATATATTTTCTTAAAATTTGATTTACACTACGTGGGTGGGTTCACAATAATACTGAAATAGTTAAAATTCGAATTAAAAAAAAAGTTTGTGCGTTTGTAAATAATACAGAATTCATAATTTAAAATTATCTTATTCGTTAAGTACCCTTGATATTAAAAATGCGTAGTACCCCCTCCCCTCTGTAAGACTATGTGGCGCAGGAGAAAAACTACTTAAATTTAAATACGATTTCTACCACAATAGGGAATGTAGAGTTTGCGTAGGACAACGTTGATTTTATTTTTGATTTTCACAAATTTGGTAATTTAAACATCTCAAACTTGAATAACTTATTTCATCGTACAGGTATCGAAAAACTACAAGTAACATTGCACAGTGCAAGTTCATTTTGTTCTATGGCAAAAATGTTTTTTCTTAACTAAATCCATTTCCCCAGTAGTTTTTGCTCACGTTTAACGGTTTTTTGTATACAGTTTTATCGATTTCATAACACAAAAACAAATTAGTAATAATGATATAGGACTACTTGCATGTAGACGTATTTGGAAATGAATTCAAAATTTGAAATAATTAAGTATCCTTTTTTTAAAAAACTTCGAGAAAATTGACTTTACGAAATTCCTTAAATGGAGGAGATAGCACGTCTAAAAATATTAACACTCAGTTTCAAAGTGTGAAAAACATATTACAGTTCAACGCATGTGATTTAAATAGACTTCACTCTGGCGTTCATAATATCATTTCACCCGTAATTTTTACTGACAGCCAGCACATGGATTATGTACCGTAAATTACATATTTTAATTTCGTTCAAATGGGTTTTCGGAAATATAAAATTACAAAGTTAACAACTACTATCGCGTATAGTGTTAGAACTACACCATGTCGAATATTTCATACATTTTTTTTTGTTTTTTTGATATTTCTAAAGATAAAAAGATAAATTATTTTAAAGTTAATTAATATTGACAAAAAACCGACGAACGGATCAAATACTGCATTAATTTTATTTGTATTCTGACACTGTTGGCATTTCGCAATATTAGCAGAATTTCGACGAAAAAAAAAAAAAAGCTTTTTTCTTTTTAAATTTATCATAACATCATTATGAGTCACTCATAATATTTCACCTATTGTAATGTATAGATATTACACGATTTTACTATTATAATACGCATGTTGCCAATTTTTATTGTACTCATACAACTCGTGCACACTCACGCGTAAAATATTTATATGATTAAATCGACGAAAACCGGTAACCGCGCCGCGAACATAATCATCCATTGTGAATGAACCCAGTCAAAACACGGAGCATAATCATAGGGGCCGTATATATTATATATATATATATATAGTCACATAGATGTTCGTCCAACATGAAGTTCGGACCGCATGGTTTTCATTGTACGCTTCAAAAAAAAAAAAATGTTTGTTTTTATCTCTATACATTTTTCGCAAAACACAATACCTATATAAAGCGTCTGTAGGCCGCTTTACAAATTCATCATCGTGAACGATGTCGAAGAAATATTTTATAATATTAGGCTGTAAAAAAAAAAAAAATAAAAAAAAAAAAAAAAATGAAGAAAAAGAGTACACCTATACAAATTTATTATTATTATTATATGTAATTCAAAAATGCTCATTATATAAAAGTAAATTCTTCCCGATTTTTCGGAATTAATTAATTTTTTTTTTTCAATTAAATAAATTGTATGGACGAACGAAAATGCTTGACAGTTTAACACGAATTTCAGAGCATACGTTTTAATTTGTCGTAAAAAAAAAAAACATAGTTGCATAGTCGTAGTTAAACCGAATTTCGCTTAAAATCATAGCTTACAAAATATTTTAAATTTTATATTTTATAAATTACCTAATTCAAAGTATTCTACCTTTTCAACTACCCACCTATATAATTGTGGCCCAACCGTCGGCGATATTAGCTCTTTCTTTTTCCATCTATTGTTGTTTTTTTATATCGGTCATAAAGCCTATAGTAAAATATTAGGTTGGGTTTGAAATGAAATTACATTTTCGACATTCTTCTCCAGACTTCCATTACGGCTAATAGGTATTTTAAAAATCCCGGTTCCATTATCATAGTGCTCGTATATAAGGTATCTTATTTACTGAAATTGTGTTCGTTCATTATGAATATGAAAATCAGAAAATATACCAACTTTTGGTGTGCCCGTGATACATCTGTGTAATATTTTATGAAATATGACTTTTATAAAAGAATTGGGTATTACAGTTTTTTCCAAACAAAAATTTAATATTAAACGACTAACAAGATTTCCCTTCAGAAAAGATGCTATACTAGATAAGTAAGAAAATCGTAAAAATTAATTCAAATTCATTTCAAATCTTGTGAGTCCGAGCTTCGCTCAGAATTGTTTATCGTCAGCAATAGTAAATCATTGCATACACAAATAAATTGAGTAAATTTATGCATTCTAACTTCTCCATTTCTCATCTAAATAACAGTGGAATATCCATCCTCAGTATTGGTTCTTTTTATTAATTTTTTGGATACGAATCTTTTAAAGAATTTTTTTCTATTTTGGCCAAAATACATTTCTTTAAATAATCAATCCCCCTAAAAAAAAAAAAAAAAAAAAAAACAGTTATAAATAAAAAAGATTTCATATTATTTTCGATTAAACCCAAGTTTGGTAACAATCGAAATTTATATTTATGTGCACCGCTGTTTTACTTAAAATGAAAAGTTTTAACTCACGACCTCAATTTAATTATTGCCCGCTAACTTTTATCATCAACTCCTATCAACATTCGTATTTTCTACCCGATAAAAAAATATATCAATAACTATAATATATCGTTATTCATATAGATTGAAACTTTATAAATTGCGTTTTACATTATTTTTTCTTTTTTTTTATAGACGTTTTAACAAATTAAGCGCTATAAAATCTGCGTGCGATACTTTTTTTTCTAAATTGTTCGGTCCGTTCAAAACGGTTTATTCTCAAATGTTAACTCGAAATTCGGTTTGCATGATTTCTCGTAGATTTTACGGTTATAACCGTGGGAAAATATTTTCAAAAATGTACACATGAAAAGCATAGTCCCTTAAAAAAAAATATATATATATGTATTATTTATTTTCTAAACCGTCGCTAACTTTTAATTTTTTACATTTCTCCGATAAATTTTGCGTTTCATCTAAAAACACACCTAAATCTTCCAAATATTTCTGTAAACTACCGTGAAACAATAAAGATGAGAAACCGAGGAACATAGTTTCAGTTTTACTCCAGGAGTTAACATGATACATTATCCCGCAACCACAAAGTCAACAGGAAAATAATAAAATTTGTCGCCCACAGTCATTTTGATCCACTTTTTTTTGGCCATCTAAACAAAACAACGTATACTGTTATTATTATTGCAATCCTGATTGGATAATTTTATATTTTACAAAATGCTCGACGGTGTTATCATTGATTGATGTTTGTCTTCACAGAAATAAATAAGGGATAAAAAATATTGTGTTTGACTTTAAAATGTTTTAAAGTTGTCCAAAAAAGTGAATGAAAAACGTATATGAACAATAAAATTATCTAGTTTCAAAGTAATTTTCGCAAGCAAATGATCGAGCGAATTTCTATATACAATAATCTGTCACAATCATAATATTTTAATTATATTTAATTTTTTTTTTAAAATAACTTCTGTGTTGTACTTAGTTAAAAAAAAAAGCTTATAAAAATACAGAGTCTCGTTTTTGGTCTGTGTTAAGCCGGACGCAAAAATAATGTTAAGTAACGTGTATCTCATAATAAACTTTTCTCTAGTCTACTCGATCTTTCTGACTCGGGTTTTTTTTTTCGTTCAGACGTTTGTTGCAGAGACTTCGAATTTTTCACAGACCGTTAAATCTTAAAGTCTTGGTTCTTTTTTATTATGATTTTTTTTTTAAATATTGCACGTATACTATTATAGTTATTCCTCCCTCGAATTCGCCACGGTTTTATTTTTACCAATGCATCCAGCCCTCCTCCAATTGACTATATAGTGTCTGAAATCTTTTGGTTCATTTGCCACGGCCGACCTCACAATTTTATTTTGTATCGCACCGACCACTACAATGTTACAGGAAGCGGATCCAATGACAGCACTGATTTATATTGGGAACCGAAACCGTAATTTTTTACTCTTGATTTTTGTTTGTTTGTTTTTTTTTTTTTTTTGATACAAAATTATGTTGCAAACACTATAACCACACAACTGTTGATAATTAATAATACACAAATCCGGCAATTGTAAGGCAAAACAAAAAATACCATGTGATGAATATCTTAACTCTACTATTTTAGTTTACTCTATCGATCTGTTGGCTGATAACGATTTTTAAAAGTTGAAAAAGAATATTATTCCGATGATTAAAAATTAATCAGCGACGCGTGTAGTTCTTCATGCGTAATAAATCGTTGAAAAGCAATAATTCACAATAATATTATACTCTATATATTTCTTCGTGTTTGTCATAAAACCTTTTTTTTTCACGCGTCGATTTTGCTTTAAATAAAATCTATATATATTTTATCTACGTAAGGACACCGAGGATGTGACCAATTTTGCGGGTCAACGTTCATAAGTACCTTTGTACAAAAAGCACCGTAGTAAAGGTCAAATACCGTAATATTATTATTTTGAATATTTAACTCTTTTGCCGGATAATCGGAAATTCGTTTTAGATTCTAAGCAAAGCGAGGAATGTATTGGTTTTACAATGATATATATTTTTTCTTTTCCACGACATTCCTACCAGAGATCTGATTTTTAAATGTAACAATTTTTCTGAAAGGAAATTTTATCTAGTTGGTACTTTAAATGATTTAAATAACTTGTAGTAACATTTTCAAAAGGTTTGAAGTATTATTGAGCTATTTATAGACATTTTTTAGAGTTTTTTAAGTAATCTTTATTCGCTTTGTAGTATGAACTCTGTGGATAAAACTGTTCGATCAAATAGAAATTCTTGTGAAATTAAAAAGTGTTTTATAAGTTTTGCTTAGTGGTCAAAAAAATAAATTTCGATTTAGTGTGTTATTTTTTTCTTTTTATACGAATTTTTAAATCAAGTCTTGACGAAAATCGTAAATATTACGGCCTTTCAAAACCCGTGTAAGTCAGAATCGTTTTTCATTGGGAATTATTTATCTTGCGTATATACAGATATACACTCAATTTCCCTCTACATCCTTCCTTCCCAAATTCTCACCTACATCAGTAGCCAATCGATCGTGCGATGTATGTATGTCTTTTTTGGATTGCCTATTTAGTAATAGTATTTTCATGAAAATATCAGAACGATTGTGAAAATTGTCAGTAATAAATTAATCAAGTATTATTCTATAATAAATTATTTGTAAGCCATTATTGCTTATAGATTCTGAGTGTAGCATATAAATTGTATTGATTTTACTAAGATGTGTGTTTGTTTTTAGTGGAAGACTCATATTCAAATAGTAAATTAGTTCCGATTTTTTTATTTCATACCAAAAATGTATAATTTTGCCTATGCTATAATTAAACAGTTGACTTTTAACGCGTTAACTATCGCTAACACTTTCTCGATTGCCTCAACTGAGTTAATATTGTTATACTCATTGACTTGTTCCCAGCCTTGGAAATACTGTTTTGTTTGGTAAATAACTTAAAAAATAAAAAACACGATTTTTATGTAAATTAAGTCTATTATACAGTTTATTCATTCATATTATTTCTACATTTTGTTCCCTCGTTTGGCCTCATAAAATTAATACGACGAGAAATATACTCCATCGATAAACTTTGCTGTCAACTCAATTAACCTGTCATCATTGAGTAGGTTTGTTTTGTATTCTTTTACGTCACATCTTTTTTGTTCGGGTAACTGTTTTCGCCCACATTTTTTATTCAGTAATTTGTTTCCGATATTATCGGATTCGTGCAGTGCCTATCACTCATACTTATATATAAAGTATAATAATATATTTTTCAATGCCTACGCAGTGCGTGTAATGTCATAACACATAACGATATTCGTAATTAAAACATATGAAATAAATTAAAAATTTTCTTCTTTGAATCGGCACAGTAATCGAGTTGTAACCAAATTATCGAAACCGATCATTTATATTATTATTTTTATTACACAATAAAATACTATTTTCGTCTATGAATATAGAATTGCAATTCACTGCACTCAGAATCCAACAACGACAAAATATTAATTACAATTGCAATAAATCCTGACTGCCAATAATAATAATAATAATAATAATAATAATAATAATAATACCTACAACATTCTCAAAATGTTTTAACATATTATATTGTTTTGTGCGAACGTCAACGCCGGCAACATTAATATTGTTATTGTTATATTATAATATAGGTACGTCCATTCAGGATTACGCGGTGGTCGGCCGTAACAGGAGCAGCGCGCTGCTGTCACGGGCCACCGACGCGGTTATTTTATAAAAATTATTGAAAATAGAGAAGCGAAATGTATTTGTGAAATTCCTTCTTCTCCGGGAATTCCGGCTGGACGGCCCAGTCAATGTTCAAACAAACTATTGTTATATTTCGGAATGCTCGTTTCGTGTTAATTATTTGTATGTGTTAAAGTATACACACGTATAAGTACGTTTTATAATTATTGCCAATTATTAATTATAATTATGTCATATGCGTCCAAGGAAGGAACTTGCATATAAATGTACAGTAACTGATAGGCCGACGTTTTTCGTTATATCCCATCCAGCACTTGTTATCGTGGTTAATTTATTGAGGTATAGTACATTAGTGTCCGATCACGTATTCAGGGACATTTTTCAGGGGGAAGGGGTTAAAATATTTTTAATACGTGGACTTGTAGTTAGTCTTTGTCATATTGTAAATATATACCTACTTTTAAAATTTCAGGGGAGGGGGGGGGGTGGAAACCGAAAATATCTGTTATACATGTCAAGCATATGCGTGACGTATACGATACAATTATTTTAAAGAAAATATTTTTAATGAAAAAGTAGCATCCTACATTATGTAAGGCAAGTAAAACTAGGGACGTCATTTGGACCACGGAAGTTATACACGTGTGCATGTAAACATTGTTGGTAAAAAAGTTGTTCACCGATAAAATAAAAAAATAAACGTCATTGTTAAACTAAAAATGTATTCGCTTCATTCAGAATCTAAAATTCTTTAATAATGCGAATATACTAACCGAATATTTTGATTATTTTCACGAATAGTGTTATGGCAAAAAAATCATCTTACACATATTACAAATAAAATATTTACGTACGTCGGTATATTTAAGACTTCAATTATCTTTAATTAGGTCATCCCCTTGATAACAATATTATTAAAAGATATGAAAATGTGGTAATTGTTCAATAGATAAACTATGATTATCGAATATTACGTTTATGGAACGGATCACGTTTTTTGAGCGATGCATACAATTTAACACGATGTAAATGAAATTAATTTATCAGTCTTTTATTTAAGAATAAACACAAATACAGTTAATTGTTTGGGTTTTACATTAAATGTTAAGGTACGAAGGTACTTACAATGTAGCGTAGTGATTTTGCGTGTGAGAGTTTAGGACGAGGTTGTTTCCACAATAGTATGGGGTAAGGAGTTGTGTGGGTTGCGCAGAGTTCGTGACTAGTAAGGCATGGAATAAAATTCAGAATATACGTTTTTCCTCTGGTCTTCTCTTGGTCTAGTTTAAACTTGAGCAGACAAAAACACATACGAGAATACAAAGCGCATCACATTACAGTTAAACAATGTTTTTTTTAACCTTTTAGTCATTTGCGTACCCATTTGACCTCATAAAAATCAACGAAATTACCTGATAATTGAAATGAACAAATACAATCGTTTTGAACAAATTGAATATTTTACTTTCGTACATCTCTAGACTTTATTATCGAGAGCTTGGCCGGTGGGTTTGTGGTAGAGGGGGTTGAGAAACTCTGCACCTTACCAATATAATAATTACTCGCGAAATAATTTAGCAGTGACTATAGTTCATCTTTATCGCAGCACAAACGAGATAATAAATCATTACGTCAAAACTAACCTAACCGTGATAAATGGCTATGTGTGCGGGCGGGTAACGGTCGGAAAGGTCGGATTAGGTTTGAAATTATTATTCGATTATATTATGGGACCGACGAAAAATCAAAAATCATTAATGATCTATAGTTATATAATACATGCTCGTTTACAAATATAAGTATAATATACTTACACAAGTGTTATTAATTTGGCGGAAAATTCGAGTTTTTCGGCGGCGCCGCCACTGATAATATTATTTCGTGTCGTCGTCGCTGATGAATAATATTCGTTTCTCTTCCGACACTCTTATAATAATAATTAATCACAAATTTAATAATCGTTTTCGACGGCCGGGCATTAGGCGACTAGTAAAACCGATTCTCGTCGTTTTTAATGCAATATTTGCGATGGTTTTATACGTCAACCGGTTATATACGAGCGAAAATACCACTTACACTAACCCCGGTGAATCGTAACCCCTAACCGTGCACGACATGTGGCCGGTGGGTTTGCCACAATACGTACGTATTGCGGTTGTGCGATAATTATTGCCACTTCTGATTGACCCAATAGCGTTACCCGGGAGAAACCGCGGGCCGGTTGGTTTCCGACGAGCGGTTTTGCTCTCAAAATATTTTTCCTACTTTATTGCTTTGGCCAGGACGATGTAGGTGATCGGGTCAAGTGGTCACAGCCGCTTACATATCGCCCACAAATATTATATCGACAAACGGAACGGAACGACAGTAACAATACAAATGTATAAGTACGTACATATGATGAGCTTTTAAATCCCGCGAACAAAAATTATTAACAGTACTACGTTAAAAACATATTAACAACAAAAACAAAAAGAGAACGGATAAAGTCGAATACATAATTAAGATCGGAAAAACTTTTGACTTTTAAAAATCTGTATTTTAATACACGAACAATTATTATTGTTACTATTTGTTTTTTCTTTAATATCATTCATACCGTGTTCGTGCATTATGTACTAAAGTTTCGTTTTGTTTTTTTTCGTTTTTAAAAGGAAAAAAAGTGCTGATGCTGGAAACAGATGTAGCCACCGTTAAAGGTGAAAAGTTGCAAAAGAAGGCTTCAGACAGTTATTTGATTTATATCTGTGTGCAAAGGTAAACCATAGCTAACTAAAACCGATTTGGAGCGAAGTTCGTAAAGGCATATTTTAAAACGCAGTAATTTCTACAATTTTTGTCAAAATTTGATCGAAATCAATCAACGTCCTTCTTACATACAAACAAGAAAAAATTGTCTTCAAAAAAATACTATTTTTGAAATTTGGACAACGATTTTCGATTCAAAATTATAATCTTAAAAATATTAAATAGTGAAATATTTGGGGAGTAATTTGAAAAAAATCGTATTTTTTTTTTTGGTTTTTTTCGACTATTATGAAAATCCATCGGAATATCAAAAAATAATAACACTAATTAGAGTTTAAAATTAAAATTTTCTCCCGGAAAAGGTGCTACACTCTAAACATCGAAGCAAGATTTCTGGTACATTTTAGATACAAATAAAAAAAAAAAAAAAATACATATAATACAATCAATCGATCCGTCGCTACGCTCTAAATCTAAAAAAGTAGATAGTAATATACTATTCAGAATAACTGATTTTATGATAAACTGAACATGTGCTACAATTCACATATTTAATATATTCCGCAGACATCAAACATAATAAAGGACATCAAACACCAAATTAATGACAACAGTAGAGTATTTATAGGGGGAAATTAATGATGTAGATCTCCGACTTGAAATTTTTTTCAGTATCAATTATTTGTGTGGCTAGATGCAAACCAGGATCTAGATTTGAACGTTTCTTAACGGTTCAGATTTCGATAACCGTAAAGATTTCGAATTGGTAATTTCTAGATTTGTATATTCCGTCTTTCAATGCGCTCCACGCCGCTTATCTCGAGGGAATTTCATTAGTTTAATGAAAATACTCATCGTTTCCGAATTAAAAAGTATTCGCGCTTTTCTTTATATATTCGGAAGTCGCGAAACGATGAAATAAAGGACGGTATTTAATTCGAGCGCATATGGTAGTTATTGTTATAAATCTGCAATTTTTAGACTGTTCAACAAATTACATACATATTTTTCGGCACGGTGGTGGTTAATTTTTTTTTTATCCAAACAAATTTTTCAGTACTATGCTTCGAAAATAAAAATCCTGAAGAATACAAATTACTGCTAATTTATAAGCTTTATTACGAAATATTTAAACAAAAAAAAAAAAAATTCTCGAACGATAATACAACAGAGTTGTATTTCGTTGAATGTAATTTTTTTTTATATGATTTATTAACGAACACGGTTTTATTTTAGGTTTTTTTTATCGTTTCTCAAACAAAAAAAAAAAAAGATATTAAATTAAAAAAATACAAGGTTTTCCTATGCGCGTTTTAAATTAAAATACAACCAAAGTTAACTATAAACTATTCACTTTTTTCTCTATATTATTTTATTCTGGCCAATCATGATTTATTGTCGACAATTTATTTTTTTGGCACTTGCATAAACCACTTTAACCTATCGTCCTTTATTTTTTTTCATTGTTTTTTCGTAGCATTTATTTAATAGGTTATTCATAAATTCACGAAAAACTAATTATTTTTGTTTCAATATTATCTTTAAAATATAATATCGTACGTTTTCATAAAATTATATAATTAAGAAGTTTATGTTAAGTACTTATATATGTCAATTTGATCACTTATAATATGTAATATAAATAGGCATATTTGCAGCTTGGTGTAAAAAGTACCAAACAAGAGGAATGTCAAAAGGAAAAAATAAATAAAATTAGAATTGCAAGTTTAAAAAAGTAAATTTATTTCCATTATTCCAAAAATCTAACGCGAAATTCATAATAATTATTATAAACATGTAATATTTTTTTATATTGGCCAATCTCGCAGTAAACCACAGATATATGATTAGGTTGATCAATTATTTAACGTGAACTACCGTTTTTCTCAAAGGATATTAAGTGACTCTGATTTCTCTTTGTTTTTTTTTTTTTCTAATTGTTGCGGAATTGTATAAGCTTTATTTAAAAACCAAATTGAAATATTCGCCTCTACCTTAAAATTATAATTTAAAAATTTGATAAATGATATGATTTTTAAAATAGAATCTCCCATATTACTTACACTACACCGGTCCAAATAGGGAATGTTTGTCCGACTGTAAAATGTCGGCATACGTAGCATACTATTATTAATATCGAGTAAACGGTACATACGGCACATAACGGTTTAAAACATAGACATTACAAGAGTAATACATTTTATTTTCATTTTATTTAAACGATATTTAGATAGAAATAAAATTCACTTAGAGTCACCCGTGAAAATCGCTGAATCGTGAAAATGACAATTTGATAGATGCAGACAAATGTATCTTGTTTACATATATATAAATGAATAAATCATATTATTATGTACAAAAAGAATATAAAAATGTTTAACATCGTAAAATTCGCGGTCTCAGAATGGTTTAAAGAAATTCATTTTGAGTAGAAGAAAAATCGAGTATATTTTTAATTAAAAAAAAAAATTACCAATAGCATAAGATAATAATATTTCAATGAAATCGTTAATTATCTCGAATTGTAGATAAACAAGACAAAACAAACAGAACCGCATAAGGATAAAATAAGTTTTTAATTTTAACTTTTTGTTTTGTTGTTTTTCTACGATCATATTCGACTTCTCAAGTTGTATAATACGTTTTTACGAAAAGTATTACCGAATTGAAAATCGATATACTAATAGAAATTATAATCACTCGATCGTGTGAATAAGTGTGTATTAAAATCCAATTTAGTTTTAGTAAGTTTTGACGATTTTATTAATTTTTTTTAGTATCAGTGTACTAAAAAAGCGCGTAAAACTAAAAAACTATGATTTAGGTTTTTCGTAACATGACAAATGTGTAAATTCGTAGTGCGTTAGTTTATAATATACTAGATATAGTGTGTGTGTGTGCAGGATATCTCAATTAGCTACGCAATGGTAATATATAGGAAATTCACAAATCATACAAATATACTCTGTAAGTATATTTAAAAAAAAAAAAAAAAAGAAACGCCACCGGTGATGATATATTCAAATATTTAGGCTTAAAAACCAGACGGAACTGTTAGCGAATTGCGTTTGATGGATTTTAATTGTTGTGAAACGGATTATGACCGAGCAAGAAATGTCCTCGTGTTTTATGGTCAATTACGGAAAACTTACTTTAAGTCTTTTGTCATTAACTATTACGGCAAAATTGTTTTAAAAAAAAAAAGAACTAATTTTCCTAATCTATCCATGCAAAAAACCTGCACAAAATCATAGTACGTTTTCGAAATGTTGAAATCCGCAATAACCTTTACATTTATCTCTGGGATTTCGGTCCGAAACGTTGTATTTGTCCGTAAAAACAGTCGTACGTCTTACCCTTTGAGTGCGAGTTATCGGACAGTAGTTAAGTGAAAAGATATTGTCATTAATAAGGTTGCCATTAAAACAATTATTACATCGGAACAACACCAAAACAAGATTTTTTTTAAGATTCAAGATATTGGACACACTTTATAAAACTCAATTAATTTTATTATATTATCATATTTTAGTATTTTACCGTAATATTTATATTTTTGTATGAAAAATGTGCGAATATTAATTTTTGCATACAAAATACGCATGTATACAATAAATTTCCATTTTTTTTTTTTTTTTTTTTCGTTTTCGTTCTTTTGTATTTTTACATTTTTCGAACGCGCGTACGGCGTTGGTGACGGAATTCGCGCGATTACACAAAATCTGAAACGGGAAAAACATTTTTTTATTTTTATTTTTGCACAGTACCAGTGTCGTATTATAATCATATTTACATTAAATATAATACGAACAAAATGTTCAAGTATATTTTATTTCCTACTTAAAATTATATAAATTTAATTTTTGTACCGTAACTAAGTTTAACATAAAAAAATAACTGTATTTTAACATTGTATTCATGTATATACGTATATTTATATAGATAGAAAAAAAAATAACAACAACTCATTGTATATTTATTATGTAGATCGCTTATTGGAATACGGCCAAATTTAAAGCGGTATAAATTATTTCAAAAGGAAAAAAAAAAATTCGTTCAGTACCAAAAATATCAGTTGAAAAGCAATAAACGGATATTTTACTGACTAATAAGATTAATTATTGTCAATTACACATTTTGAATAATTACTGCGCGGAGATTAATGTTAAGAAAACTGAAGTTTGATGAATAATCATTATTAAATGTTTAAAATTTCAAAATTTCAACGAGCTCGATGAATCTAATATTATATCGTGATTAAACTTTTAATTTATACGTTTACCGAAATTCATTTGCAAACGTCCTCCCGCCTTCTTCGAATATATTTTCGAGTGATTATTACTGTCTTATTGAACACATCGGAACATAGGGTCCCAAAAAAATTAATTTTCCAATCAAATTATCTACTCATTTTTTTTTTTTGTGTTCCTGTCGAATTAATTCATTTTGTTTTTCAGCTTTAGAAATATTATAAACATCAACCGAGTAATGTTTTCCCAATAATTTCTATTCCTCTCACTAAACACTTAAACACACACATATCAGTGCGAATTTGAACAAAACTATTTTAGCCCTTTCTAGGAATGGTATGATCATTAAAGCATACTGACGGATTTAAAGCCACATATATACATATGAGTATGTATGGCTATTTCAAGTTTTAGATTTTTTAGTTTTAACATGGTATTATTTGAATATAATTGTATTAACCTTACCGAAAATGTTAACACAATTTTCATCATAGTAAAAAAAAAAATCAAGCGCAAATTAATGACAATTGTTTACCACCTATAATCGTTTAAAGTTCCAATTCTTACGAAAATGTTATCAAATGTAACAAAACCGTTTTTCGTAATCGATTCATAACCGTAGCTTTGGATACGAAACCTAACTAGACTGTATAAATATCTTTCCAAATTTCTATCTACAAGGGGTGACACAAGTCTTATCAGGACTGCATAATAACAATATTAACTTTTTCTTTTTTTTTTTACGTTACAACGGCGCATTGTATAGGCAATATGACTACGTTCTTGCAGTATGAACAACGCATAAAAAACTAAATATTTTCCTCGACAATCAATGAACTTCGATCTTTGTATTTAAAAAAAAAAATTGTCCTCGTAAAACAATATCTGATCACACTATTTCTCTATACGTTTTTCATTTTTTTTTTTTTTTTTTCATATTTTATTCATCGCTTATATTCATATACAACTGACATATTTATAAATAAAAATAGATACATTTTATTTGCATAATATTTGCATTTAAGAAGATAGATATGACTATCGTGATGTGCTAGGTTATACGTTTAGACTAATCCACTACTTTCGAACATTGCCAGAGCAAAACACAACGGGGGAAAAACTACGGGGAAGACCTAAAAGTAGGAGGCAGGAATATGTATTAAACAAGAACGTGGATGCATTAGGAGATGGACCAAATTAAAAGAATTTGGCGATAGATAGAGTATACCTAAAGAAAAGTTCGTGAGACGGTATTGTACTATGGTTATAAATGCCGAACAATTTTAATACTATACACTTAAAGTCAAAATCACTGCCATTATTTTAATCGTGTCTAAACGCAATAACTCCATACAAAACATTAAGAATATTACGTATCACTACGTCTCGGAGTACTTAGGTAAACAGTGTATAATTATGCCATTACTGCCAGTTAAATGACACTGTCTCTAATTTCTAAGGTTGACAACCTTTAGAATTAAACTAAAAATGTATGTAAAAAACCGAAATAACAATCATAACCATTATATTTTAAATATGCAAAGTGTGACCCACTCTATAAATAAAAAAACAAGTTTTCTCCATAATACAGAAAGTATATAGTTCAAAAAAATGAAAAAATAAAACAACATCGGTGTTAAAAATATATTAATTATTTATTTTATATAAAAACAATAATTATTCACTGGTTTATCCGAATATTGCAGTTGAAACATTTATTTATTATATTTTGGGAAATTATATCGTGATCTCGTACCCGATGCATTAGCCCAGTTATTTCGTTTCGTTAAATTAAAAAAAAAAATAATAAAACGTAAAACTAATGGATAAACACGGGTATAGGCAACAAAAAAGTAGCTCTTTTACGAAGGAATGATTATATAATTTTATAATGTGTACAAATGTAAAGAGTAGGGAAATTTTAATATAATTTTTGACTCGGTGTTACGTTTTATTTTTTTATTTATTTTAGGTCAACCCATATTCTGAGAATTCACACTTGTGAAATAATAAACAGGTACGAACGCATTATGCGTAACGGCAACATTGACAATTAAATACAATGATAAAGAACAAAGCAAAAATAATATTATAGTTAGTAGAAGTTTAAAATACGGTGCACACACCTACGGGCGTTACACTTCATATTTATAAATAAAATCTGTGATATAAATGTCTCAACGAAAAACAAAAACAATTTCGTGGCTAGTCTACTCGAGTGATAATATTTATAGTAAATACATATATATAAATAAAAACATTTGTATACACAAATAAAAAACAAATAAATGAATAAATGCGTAGTCTAGAATATTATATCACAAAAATCTATATTAATAATATTTATATGATTTTTTTTTATTTCTATTTTTATTTTTTTTTTTTTACCCGTGTCTATACATAAATTCGATAAAATACCAAACATAAATCTTAATAAAGGGTTTTTCTTTAGGCGTTTTTTCAAATGGTTATCGTTATTAGAAGCGTAGCCAAGGAGGGTTTTGCGTGTTGTACCACCCCCCATTGATTTACTTTAGCCATAAGTAACGTTAAGAAATCTGTAGACCCCTATACCCTCCCCCCTTAACCAACTAAACCCTCTCATTGAAAAATTCCGACTACGCCATTGATATAAATTATACGTATAATAGTTATCGTACAACGATTATACATTAACGGATAAAATAATAATATGGGTAAAAATATATTATGATAAGTCGCCAAAATTATTGGCAATATGGAAGAATTTTTATTTCCAAATTTGAATAACTTTTCTATGAAAATGTTTAATCGCGCCCCGTGGCTTCCGAATTTACACGAATAAAAACCGAATCGGCGACTTTCGGTGGCACATGACATTTTATTATTTTAAATTCTAATATAAACCCTATGATTATTATAAATGTATTATCATGAAATTTTATCGAAAATAAAAAAATGTATTTATTACTACTTACAAATGCAGTGGGGTGTCCGGGAATTGTCAATGAGATGCGATTCATTGAATGTACGGATCACGATTCGTAAATAAATCGCAAAATCTTCGTCTGTTATATCTATCCCGGCAATGAGATTTCAAAAGTCAAATTCACGCAATCCAATCTATATTCGATTAATCGAACATTTTTCCCCATAATTTGACTGAATCATATAATTTCAAAACAATTACTAAATAAATGCTTGTAGTTTCGTTGCGTTTATATGCCAATCGGGATGGGAGGACACAACCCTTAACGTCCCCCGCGAAAAAAGCCACTGTATAAGTGTCGCTTTATGAGGCTACACCCGATTTTCAATACACCGTGGAAAGGATATGCAAACGACACAACGACATGATATATAATAATATACGCGTGCCGAAAATTCAACGTTTAGAACAGTATAGCCCGAAATAATTGACGATATCGATAAGTGTAGGAGGCAGATAGGTATATATATATTTTATTTCACGGTAAACATAACATTTTCTTGTAGTATTATAAAAATGGTCAAAAATAAGTTTATGCAGCCACTTGTCGATAAATTGATCTCGAAGGGTTTATTTATTTATCTTGTTTTTGATATTATCAATATGTTATGAGAAAAATGTCGAAACTGATATAATTGACAGCACACTAACGTATTTATTTATTTATTTATTTTTTTTTTGAAAGACTTTTTAAATAATCACTGATTATTTACTTATGTTAAACGTAGTATAAAAAAAAACTATAAAAACGCGACGTTCTTTATTAAATGTACAAAATATAAAAAAAATAATGTTTACACGTGAGAATTAAGGAAAGCACAAACTTTAGAGCAATTCAATTAATACGGCGAAAATCCAACAAACACACAACGATAAATCATCGTTAACTGTTTAACTGCTCAGAATAAAGTTCGGATAAAACATATGTTTTGACATGCAAATTTTAATTTTCATAAATATTTGCGATTTGAACGGTTATAAAAAATCATTTTAGAGAACTCAACTTTAACCTATTTTACCGCTAAGTATAAAAGTCATGATGAATTGACGAAACTTTCGAGCATTTTTTCTGGGCCAAAGCTATTTTAACCGCATAAAAACACAACAATATATTAAATAGCTGTAAATTATTTAAAAATCGCCAGTATATTATTCACTTTTTATTTCGACTAGAACGTGCTAATATGAGTATGCGATGAAAATTTCATATCTCAACTACTATTTCTAATCGAATTAAAAAAAAAAAAATACCATAATCAGTTATTGCAGCGTATATTTGCTCTTTTTCCCGACGTTTGTGCTTTGTTTTTTCTGGCCGTTAAAGGAAATGGCCCGAAAAATCGCAACTATTAGACAACATTTTTTTATCAGAAATCTTTCCCAAAATTGATGATCAGACAATATCTGTGAAAGAAAAGTCGTTTTCACACATAAATACAACAAATCAAGCAACATTATAATAAAACCAATACAATCTTCGGTACGGCTATAGAAAATTTTTTCAAATTCGATCGTTTCTTTCTGAGAATGAAAATCATAACCGGGATATCGATCCGTTTTTTCTTTAATTGTCAATATTACAATCAAACATGTTAGTAGAAACTGCCACCATAAAATATCGCTTATAATAATAAGAATAATAATATTAGGTATTTCGTTTTGCATTTTTTGCCGTTTTTAGCGTTATTTTGGACACAGAGTTATTTGGCATATGACCTCTTTAAAGTACCATCTGGGTTGGATAAATTATTTAAAAAGTTGTCACGCGAAACTTTTCGAGAATGTTTACCGCACCTAGAAAGTGTTTTATGTGGATAAAAATACAAAATTACAAAACTACGCAATAGGTCTGCGTCGTTCCGCTAGAAATTTAAAATTTAGTTTGTACCTAGTGTGTAATATTATAATAAAAAAAATTTGAAAACTATTTTTAACCGAAAGTTTTCAATTATTTTTACGGATAGCAAATACATTTGCGTAGACCAAATACTATGAAATTATATTTAATATATTATTATATCATTAAATATTATATATTATATTTTTGAACGATATTTTTCGCACATTCATAATTATTATTTGTTTTAATTGTACTATTATTGGATTTTGATGGAAAAAAAAAAAATCAATATTAGTTTTACTAAGATATATCAGTGTCATTTTCTTGCTGGGAAAATAATTTTTGCGTTAGGTAAACACGGCTTCCACAAATCACCTCGAATAATGTGAAATTTTCACGACTTAAGTATTTCGTTTGACACGTTGATTGAAATCGTCAATACCTAGTGCTTTTAGATTCTGAGTGAAGCGGAGTAATATATTGGTTTTACGATGATGTTTATTTTTGTTTTTTTACATACTGTGTACAAAATGTCTACCGAATATCCTGCTCCAATTATCAAGTTTATCATTTCAATTTTATCTTTTCTAAAAGGAAATATTACATAGTTGGTACTTCAGGAAGGTTATATCTATGCATATTTTATAATCATTGGGAAAAACCGTTGGAACAAAAGGAAAATTTCTGAAAATAATGCATTTATTTTTTTTAATTTTTTTTTTTTATTGTAATTTAGTTATAAATGTCGGTAGAAACTTGACATTTGACAATTTTCAAAAAAATTTAAGCCGTTTTTTATTATTTATAGACATTTAAATTTTACAAGTTTTTTACGTAATTATAATTCAATAGATACTCTGTAAATAAAATTGTAAGACTAAACAAAAATACTTGAAAAATTAACAGGAGGTTCAGTATAAGTCGTACTTAGTAGTCAACATGACAAAGTTGAGTGAAATGTTGTATTTTTTTTTTTTTTTTTTATAAAATGTTTAAATTTTGACGAAAATCTAAAATATTACGGCCTTTCAAAAGTTGAATTAAAACACGTGTAACTGAACTTCCGTCTGTATCTGTATCGTTTATCGTTGGCTATGATTACTCTTTGTATATATATACACATTAAATTCCCGTCTATATTCTTCCTGTTCAACTTTTCACCTACAACGGTGGCCCGCCCGCCAGTCCATAGCGCAAAGGTTGTCCATTGTCCGTCTTTTTGGTTTTTAGTCTTTGTTTTTTCCTATGTTTACTTAATATTATGGTGATAAGGATAAAAACACGACTAGTATTGCTGCATTCAGAAGTGTTTTTTGTTCGCAATAACTTACAGTATCCTTGTATATAAACTGAATAATCTCCTACAAGTATCTGATGTATCCTAAATTCCCAATTACACACCTACAATTGCAGTTACACAAATGGATAGTGTAAAATATACCCGGGGCTTTTTAAAAAATTTACGTCATCGTATCAATCTTTTTCATTAAGTTGTCATCTTTTTCGGAATTAAACGGATGAAATAATTTCACCAATAATGTAGGCATTTTACTGTAAAATTATGCAAATTACAAACTTTAACAACAGAATACATTTTATAATAAAATATGTAAAATAAAATTCGTTCAATGATAATACTGTGGAATTTATTAGGAAATAATCCATATAGATATGTCTAATATTAAAAATGCAGATCCAAAGTAAAAAATAACACGTGCAAATGCATAAATGTTTTCCATTTAATTTATAAGTTATTGATTGTGTGCAATGTATAATATTTTATCAAAATTGGAAAATTTTGAAATCGTGATAAATAGTCAACGATATTAAAATATTGACACGTTTTAAATTTAAATTCTGAGTGCAGTATAGACTGTATCAATGAATACATTATATAGTATGAATACCTACTTCTATTTTGTTTCCGTTGTTCAACAAATTTTCTACTAAAATATTACTATGGATTTCAAGGGAAGCGTTTTCAGTAAAACATATCTAATTTGTAATTTGTTAATTTTTATCAAAAATTCCTTAATTATCGAGAAAATCTAGAAAAAACTTGGGAAACATGAAGTTTATGGCGTAAAAAGGTTCCGCTTATTTTTTTTTATTTTTTTTATAATTTTGTTAAAAATTGTCCTAGACATCATACCCGCGCACGCACTTATACATTTTTTTTGCATCTTGACGATTTTTAATCTATTTATAAGAATTTAAAATGTTCAAGTTTTTTTAGTTTGAATTTAGTTTTATGTAGATTAAATTGCGCATTTTTTTTTCGATTTTGGAGATTAACATTGTTCGCCCAAAATGTTTGAAAATATAACACGAGATTTATTATTACTTTTAAGTTATATAAAATTATTAACGTTATGTAGATGTTATTATTTTATAAGACTTTAAATCTAAATTTTGATAAAAAATCTTTGTTTTCATGTTTTAAAATACGTTCATTTTTAAATTTAAAATTTAGATTTTATTCAATTTTGAGAAAAATCAAGAATTTTATCACTTTGATTTATTTTATTGTATTTAATTAAGAATGAAATAAAGCGATTAAACATGGTTTTTTTCAGTTGGTCAATTTTTTTTTTTTTAATCTATATCATTATAATGGTGTCTTGACAAAACTTTTCAGTAAGAAGACGAAATACGTATAAAATAGGTTTTTTTTTTGTTTTTGTTTTTTTTTTTTTGTTTTTTTTACTCATCGATGTTGCAATATGTTTGCCATACCTAACGTGTCAGACGAAAATAATGTAATATAGCAACTTTTTCTTTAGGTTTATTCTCTAAAAGGGAAAGATATAATAACACGATTTTCTTTGTCTTCTCATATCTATATCGTTATCAGTTCTTTTATACTATGGTTATTGGTATTTACTTTAAAAACAGTAAAAACCGCATAACTTAATAACGCCAATATTTTTTTTTATTTTACGTTTAACTCTTATACAACTTTAAGTAAATTTATAGATGATTGTTATAAACCTTTCTGGAAAGGTGTTGAATTTAATATCACGCTGGGGTTGTAGAAGCGTTACTTTATTGGCATTTGGTTAGGTATAATTATTTTTTTTTTCAACACAATCGCTTTTGAAAACTGATTCTAAGCAAACGTCTGCAAAGAAGAAACTCGACCGATTCCTTGAACTTCTTTTTTTATGTAAGTAAATGTACGAGTAACCCGTATCGATATAATTTAATAATATTATACTTATATGATACGTCGACAGCAGTCAATACTAAAATAAAATTTACACTGAATAAAAATTCATAAATTTAAAAAAAAAAAATCGTTTTTGGGTAAAAAGGCTTCGACATGGGTATATAACCCGCCTTAAACTACGGTCGTAATCCGGCCCAGCGCCAACCCTCCTAACCCTCTTCTCCGTTTTTATGGTTCAGTAAACCTCCAAAACTGTATTCGAGTCGCCTCAGTCGGGATGCTGATGGTCTAATATACCTATACAATACCGGCTATACGCGAACAGTTTTTAACGATCCGATGACGACAGAGAGTAAACGGCCGAAATAAGATTAATAACGTTCTTCATCGCCTCGTGCCGATAAACCCACACACACACACACACACACACACGCGCGCGTACACATAAACACGTCGGCGTCATCGCCGTCGTCGTCCTCGGGAGAATTTTCATGAATAATACACCGCGTCGAACGAAAACCGCCCCGGCGGAGAGCTACGATGACTAGGTTAGTTCGAGTCGCGATTCGGATCTCCGTGTCCGCGTTGTTATTATAGGCGCCCACCGGCCACCCGCTACCCACTCGCCGACGGTGCACTTAACCATTACGTGGCGCAGTCGGACGGGAATCCGCCGCGCGGCCCCGCACATGACTCGCGATAGAATGAGGTTTGAACGTGTCCGGAATCGTTTCCTCGGGGATAATAATTGCGGCCGTGCTATAAATATACGCGGCGATGCCGATTGGTCGCGCGAAATCGTCCCCCACCTCCGAAAGCGGATTGCTGCGGCACACCTGGAGTACCGAACAACGCAATAACTCCCGCGGGAGATTAAATTACACCCGCGCTCAAACGCATTGTTGATTGTGCGACACGCCTAGTAATAATTATTATATCGTTACGTCAGAAATACGCGGTCAATTATAACGCTATGCCCCGAACATGTCTTATGCCGGGTCGCGTAACACCCGTCCGTGAATTCCGTCGTTTCGATCGGCGCGGTCCCGTAAAATTACGATTAACGAACCGTCCGCTTTGGCACAACGGTGAATTGTCATCGTTTCCTATCCGTGCATTAGTTATTTACGGTATCATTGGCGTACGGCTCCAGCAAAACGAAAAGCGGAATAAAAGTATTTTTTAAAAGGTTGATTGAAACAATGTCGGTAATACGAATGCACTAGGACTAGGACGAAATAAAACTTGTACGAAACCAAGACCAAGACAAACACTAAAAATAAGAGGAAAAATAAGTTCGGTAACTTGTAGTTCTTCTTCGATTTGATACGAATCGGGTCATAGTCGCACACCTAAGTTTTCCATCCATTCGATGGCATCTGCGCCGGCCGGGTGTGGATTTCCCAAATACCTCCTGTGCATGTCGTTAGTGGGCATTATTTTAATATGTGCCCGACAGTGTGCTCCTGCTATAATGATAAATACGGATCATTATAACCAATATTTTGGTTATCAGTATATATACATATTTTATTCGCATCAAATATTTAACGTGATGATTCAATTTCATTTCCCTATAAATAGAAAATTAGTTTAGTTGTCACACCGTAGTCAGACGTTTGATTAAAGTTGTTTGAAAACGCATAATGAAACCAAAAGGGGAAAAAATATCAAGGAGGCTGAAAAGTTCCAATCGATTTTGCTTGGTTTTACCATACAAAAGTATTTATACTTAACACGTTCGCAGTGTATTATATTTCAGTATGCTTGTTGTGACGTTGAAAAAATCGAGGTTTTTAAAAAAAATTCTTGAAAATGTAATATTTAAAATATCAATGCGCGACTTTCATGTGTTTATGAAATAGTGCTAATAGATAACGCTAACAAAGTATGAAAAGTTTAATCATAACGTTGACCAAATTTTAGTGCAATAAATAACAAGGTAGGTACATAACGCCGATTGGCGTCATTCAGTATATGCAAACGATGTATTTGACGCCGAAATTGGCGTAATACGCAGCAAACGTGTTAAATAATCGTAAACATTGAGGGGATTTAATTGACTCCTAAATCGCCTCGGCCTCAGTAGGTATTATTAGGTATAGTTTATAATTAAATATCATATTTTCACCCAACTAATCTAATGAAGACGCGACTGATGATACTGGTGATATATTATAGTAAATTTTTGAAAAACAATATAACAAAAAGTACTCTTACAGTAACAGCACTAATTTATGTCACAGTACTAAGAAAATATTACGATTATTCGCTATAACAAAATTATTATTGGGTAAATGATTTTATAAAAACTGAAAAAAGCTCAACAAGTTATCAATGCAATAACGATGTTTTTGATAAAAATAATTTAATTTTAATTATACGACACCGAGATAGCCAGTTATCGGTTTTGTATAATATTATGCCACCTGATATTAGACATTCGAAATATGCTTGCTACATTTATTCAGCACTTAAAAAACACCGTAATATGTTCTAATAAAATATACCTTCACAAGAAAAAAAAAAAATTAAAATTATAATATTTTATTTTATTGTACAATTAATATTTTTTCAGCCCGAGAACAAAAATGTTCCGTATTTTTTATAGCTTGAAAAACTTAAAAACAATAAAAAAAAAATTTATTGTTGACGATACATTTTAATACCAATTACAATGCATTTAAGCGAAACAAATAAATTTTTATCTACAACTTTATATCATATACTGATGTTATCGTCTTACCTTCTCATATTTATTAAACTTGTTTAATATCGTATGGTAACTCTCGCTATATTGATTAATAAAAAAAAGAAAACATTAGTGAATTAAAAATGTCCTCTACAAATTGCGAAACCCGGGAAGAAAATAAAATAAAATGTTACATATTGTATTGATTGGTGATGAAACACGTTTGGATAAAAACTGTAGTTGTTTTCTGATCAACCACGCAAAAATATGTAAAATCATACGCATACAAGTATACACATAACATCTGCTCTAACTGTTGTGATATGGATACATTTATCGAATTTACGTAAATTTCTTTTTAAAACTTTATTTTTGAATCGCGCGCATTAAACATATAAATAATATCAAATTTTCTTGTCTCTGTGTAGCTTTTTTCTATGTAATAACATGCGTTTCGTAAAAAATGTGTTTTGCGTACTTTAGGATTTCGTACGGCTATAAGATATAATTTTTTTTTGTTTTGCGAACGTTCACTAAAGTGGTAATTTTCCCGCCAGACATAAAATCGCTCCCGTTTGTTCGTACGGACCGTTATAACGCACAATACATATCGGACGAGGAAGAATAATACAATTTCTACCAATAAAATATAAAGCTCATCCCCCTCTCCCGTATTGTTAACAATTTTAAGCGTATTTGTTCGGTTTAACCTCACCAATGACTATAATATTATAGTAAAACGTATGCATATTAAAGACTCATATCCGGGCACAAAAACAGGAACGTATTGTGAAAAAATCGTATACGAATAAATACTCGTGAATAACGCGAAAAACATAATAAACTCGCATCCTCGCGGTCCATATATGTTTTTTTTTTTTTCATACAATATTATTATATGTAGGGACGATCGTTGAACAGAGTTGAATACGAGAATACTTGCTGGTGTTTACTGACCCATAAATATCGTCGAACCGACCGCGAACACGAAAATAACGATTGGGATCGGTCCGCATATATCGCGTACATTATCGCGTCGACTAGTTACTTTTTCACAGCGTAAATTGTGCACAGTGTCAAATTGCGTTTTTATCGGTTTTGTCGGCTGCTCCGAATATTATACGCGTTGTTTTAATATTCCTGCGGTACTATAAAATACGATTTTTGAATTTTCGTGTAATTATTTTCGTGTTCCGGTTAAAAATATAATAACACGCATGCCGTTAACGTGTCATTTTAACCAGTGGTTCTCAACACTGGGGTTACACGGACGTAGAATAGACACATGAAATACAATTTTTTTGAAAACAACGATTGAATATCAAAACTCGTGCGACCAGCTTTTTAACAGCTCGACCCGTTCAATTCCGGACTGCAAGGACCGTCGGAAAATTGTATAATTTTCGCCGGCTTTCAATCTTCTTAGGAGTGCCAATATATATTTATATATATATATCCGTGATATATTCAACTCTGGATCAAAGTCCAAATAAGGCCATATTTCCGCTAATTATATTTTCGTCAACTTGTAAAATATAAAACTATTCAGATTAAACGACTTGAGCTATGGAGCATATTAACATCCCCTCTGCGGATTTGAAAAAAAAAATAGACTATCCAAGTTGGCGTCATACGTGTAAACCTAAATCCTACTAGTTAATCGATGACAAGTCATGAACTCGGATTTAGATAATGGAGATTAGAAATGAAAAAACTAAATCTACCTGTTTGTCCAAACTTCTAGATAATAATTCACTGCCCCTATATGTCCTAAATGGAAATGAATTTGTTCCGGTTCTGTGTTCACTGATTCAATCGGTTATTAAGGAACTGAAGGAACTGATAAACTATCGATCAGTTTCGTTTAATTTTTTTTTTTTTTTGCATGGTTTCATGTATGATTTTAATTATTTTTTTACCTTAATAAATATGAGTTTTGTTTTTTTAATAAACCGTTGTCTGTAATTCGACAGTACAGTAATTGTCGTATTTACTTCCTATAAGGAAATCTTGTGTTGGAAATAGAGAGCTACATTTAAAAATAACATAACATACAGTCAGAAAAGAGAAAAAAAAATAGAAAGAGATTTTAGACTTATTTAGCTAATAGTTAAGAAATCAAACTTCTTGTAGAAGCCATAAACTGATTTTTCTGATTAATTGTAAGATTAATTCTTCTTTTTTGTTTATACGAACAGAATTTATAGATCTAACAGGATCTACAAAATTAATGAACTTGTAATTTAATTTATTTGTTTTTTTTTATTAATTATTTGCACAAGACAAAAAAGAAGTACTGGTATCCGTATCGGCTTGGAGAAACGGAAGACTACTTGGAAGCGTACGAGTAACGTCCCATAAAGACGGGATAAATGAGATGCAATTCGTGTATTCCAACCAAAGGTTAAAAAACACCTATCAAATTAAGAATAAATAACAATTTATTTTCTGAATGCAATTAGTAATATAGTAAAAAAATATATGTATGTTAAATGGAATCTAAGGTCAATAATATAACAAAGTATGCAATATGCGTATAATCGAAAAGAAAGTTAATACAATCAATAATAATATAGCGAAATAAATAATACAAATATTAACATAAATCTATACAAAATAACATTTGAAAATTAGGTTTATGTTTTTTTTTTTGATAAACTCTTGACAAATTCTAATTTTGTAATTTTACTTTTATTTAACTGGTTTATCTGATTTTCAATAAATAAAATACTGTTTTGTGGTATTTCCTAAATGAATGTATAGAAATAGGCAGGCTAAATTTACCTACATTTTAAGTTTGAATTATTATTATAATTATTTTTATTTTTTTTCCGGAATCAGACAAAAACCGGTGTATTTCTCTGTTACCCCTAGCCCTAAGTGTGAACTTAAAATCTTAGCCCTAGTCGATTAAAAACCACGGTGGGTTGCGTATTTACACACCACTTAAACCGAACTGGGTCAGGATCTGTAAGTACGCGTGATCGGGGCTACCGTATTAGAGGTATGAGTTCAAACAGAGTCATTGTCATAGACACAATGTTTTTAAAATTTCTTCCGGGGATATCTTATTATTTTTTTAAATTGTTGAGCTTTTTTTAATTTTTAAGATTTTTGGAAAAACACAATAAGAAAAAACTATTTACTTTGAATCGATTTTTTGTTAATCGATAACAATTTAATTTGTTTATAACACATGTAAAATTTAACATAATATTCATATGTTATCATTTATCACCGACATACACTATATATCACCGGCATATGCTAAAAACCACGTGAAACCTCGATAACCTATACTCAATTTTATCAAATTACAATAATATTTTTATCGACATTTTGAATTTATTTCGGGGAACTTTAGTATTTTAGTGTTGAGAATAAGTATCGTATATTACCGTTAGCGTAAAAGGTATTTTTTATCAGTAAAACCTTCGGGGCCTGAACCCTGGATCAATATTGTCAATGGGGACTACGGCACCTATATATTCATCGTGTACACACATTTATATTACTCACCTAATATTATCACTACACTCATTTTCGTGCGTTGTAATAAGCTATACAGAATGTATTGGGCGTTTAAAATAAAGATTGAGACAGTTAATGAAATAAAAATACTTCTTAACACGCGAAATAATAGTAAATTTATAATACCTTGTCGTATAAATAATTCTAAACGATAACTAATTGAAACGGATTCATAAATAATTTGCTCTCTACGTGTAAATGAATTACGTATTAAGGTCACGAAACAATGGAGATGTATAGGGTATCTTTGAATTACAAATGTTCGTTTTTTAATCATTTTAAAATTTGGTTAATGCTTTTAAAAATTAATCCGACGCGAAACGCCGTGTTTTTCATTAAATTACTTTTATGTAAGAAAATAATATCGCGTATTCCCCCCGCTACGAAGCAACATTTTTTTTTTTTTTTTTTTTTTTTTTTTTTTTTAATTTTTATTTTTAATTCTTCAACAGCGGCGATCAAATATATTTGGAAAAATGGCAATAATAGTATCATTATATAAAAAAAAATTTAAATATTATTATTTGTCTATCCAACCGTACAAAAGAACGACGTTCAGTTCGGGTCTACAATCGGCAATTTTTTTTTTTTATTTATCTTTGAAATCTTCTCGGAAACTGTCCGTTTACTGGTTTATTAAGTAAACCGTTGAAAGAAAACAATTATAATGCATCTGCTTGATCTATAACTATAATGTCCGCTATAACGTCGCGAATAATTTGATCTCGTCCGCCGTGCTTGTACTTGATACGCATGTTACAATATTCTCCGATAGCGAAACTAGGTACCGGCATAATATATCCAATACGGCAATATTGTCGATATTAAAAACTTTATTTTGAATAATAGTAAATAAATTATTGGCGGGGGGTGGGGGTGATGTGAGGGGGGAATATTAATAATACCCGAAGAAGTAAATCTCTTTTGACAATCCAATAACCAAATATACCCGTAAACCGTTAAAATGAAACTCGCGCGTTATTCCCCACTTGAAATACAGCGCCGGTGATAATAATAATTTATTTTAAGTATTGCGACGAAACTTTATAACGGCTTTTGCCGTTTTCTTCGCGCAAGCTTATCGGTTTTAATTTTTAGTTAGTAACGTGCCAAAATAAAAGTTTTCGGATTACTTTTTTTTTTTTCTCTTTTTCTCGGTAACAATAATTTCGTTATCACAAAAATAAGTATTACGCGCTGTTTATATACATATAATTTTCGCTCGAAAGCGTACGCAGGATTATTGTTAATCTTATAATGAAATCACATACAAAACGTATTATAGATTGATAATAATATTACTAATAGGATCGATGATATTTTATGGCTTTTATAAAAATCGATATTTGTCCGTTATTAAATTCTGAATACAACGAAGAAGCTATAATAGTTTCACAAATATGTATCTATTTTTCCTTTGGAATACATTTTTACGGTCAGTAAAAATATTCCGATTTGTCCACGTTATACCGTTAACTATGCGGATTTTTCTTTTGATAATACTTTATTTGAATAACTTTTCGAATAAGTTTCAGTTCACTGATACCTACGTTATTTTCTGACGTTTTCTTTGGTTCGAACCCTGGGTTCTTCTGTTGTTTTTGTTGTTATTGCTTGCTTTTTGTTGACTTCTGGATTACTTTGGCAATAGGGAAATTTAACGCCAAAAATATTACACCGCTCACGATCGGTTTTTCGTTTGAAAAGATATATCGTCGTATATACAGTGGACAATAAATTATAAGCCAAATACAATTACTCTTTACCTATATTTTATCTTCCCAACAATACTGATCTACCCGTGAGCATTATCAATTTTTTTCTAATTATTATGATCAATTCGGTGCTATTATACGAAAGAGTGTCATAAGACCTATAGGTATAAAGTCAGCGGCCATATCTATAATAGGACAAACCGTATTAATGAAACAATATTAAAACCGTAAAATATTTTTTCAAATGCTATACATTTATTGATAGTATACGCAGGGTGATCAAGATAATGTAGGACACTCATTGTCTCAAAAAGTATTAACTTCTTTCAAAATTCGATTCCCAGAAAATTAAAAAAAATATTAGCTCTAATAAAATACGTTACTTTTTTTTTATTGTCCTCGGTATTTTTTAGATTGTAACCATTACCTACAATTGATTTTCAAACGACAATCTAAAATAAAAAAAATGATAAATAGAGGGAGTATTAGTTTAAACCAATTTCGGAGTTGAAGTTTTTAATTTCCATCAACTATTAACACTATTAAAATGCTGTGACACCACACAAATGAAACATCACTCTTCTCCCCTCACCCTCCCTCCCCAAAAAAACTAAAATGTCAAATATCTCTTTAGATGGTCGAAATGTAAATTAAAAATGTTATCACCGAAATTGATTTAAACTAATGCTCCTATCTGTTAATTAAACTTTTAATACAGGTTTCTATATGAAAATCAAAAGTAGTCAAAATCGATTTCACTCCCCAAAATTAGGGTGACAAAAAAAAGAGAAAAGTAACCTTTTCGAGTTACTAGTTTCTTAAATGGTTCAAAAAGTTTATTTCAAAAAAAAAAATCAGACTTTCCGAGAAAATGAGTGTCTTATGTTATATTGTTCATCCTGTAGAAACGATTTGTGTTTAATTTAAAATAGGATTTGTTATATTATCATATAATTTATGAAAAACACAAATATTTATATGGGTTTATTCAAGAAATTCCTTCTTTTAGAGTTTTTAAATCAAATTTTAACGAAAATCATAAATATTAAAGCATTCCATAACGTGTATAACCAAACTTAGCTCCGAATCGTTTTTCGTTAGCTATGGTTTATCGTTGGTTACAAGTATAAATTAAATAACTTTATGTATCCCACCTTCCCCGCTATCAACCTACAACAGCAGCCGTATATATTTTCAGTTTTAGTTTTTTTTTTTTTTATATAGCTTTTAGTATCGCGTGGTATTATTTTAAGGAGATCAGTTTTATTAAAAAGAAAAAAAATCTTTTGAAAAGATTTCCGTAAAATATATTTACGATATAATACGAGTATTTAGAAAAACAGTAGAGCGTGTTCTTTTTTTTTTTTTAGAAACAATACGCATAGTTTTCGAAATTATTTGTTCGCGAATTTTATTCGGATATTTCGGATATAGTTATCGTCTTGACTAGATAATAATAATATATGACTCGACTGTGACCGCTTGTTAAGTAATATCAATAAACATTATTTACCTCAAGGCTCTTCTTATCGAGAACCGTTCAAAAGTAAAACAAATGGTAATATTTGTGAAAATTCCATCACTTAATAATGATTATTACTTAAAAAAAAACTGAATCCATCCACCCTCCGACGGTTTTTTCTTAAACATGATCTTAGTTCACTCTGTAGTAGTATTAATCCGTTTTACATATAATATTCTGTTCTGTTTTTTTTCGTTTCACTGCGGCAAGTGGACGAGAGAAATGTTTATTTAATATTCAGTAATAACGCCAATCGAGAAGCGGTGTAAACACGCGAAGTCACTTACTAGTTATAATATATACTCCGAATTACGAAAATCGATGACAAAAAAAAAAATAACAATAATAATCATAAAATCGTCTTAGCGCTTTGCCGTTCTCGTTGTTTGCGAATTTTCAAAATTTACGGAATTTCAATTTCAACTTAAGTGGATTCGCGTGTTTTGGCACTCGGTCGTCGTACGCATCGCAAATCGAGGACGTCCGTCCCCTTGGCTTGCAGCGTAACGAAATCCCGCGTAGGGTCGATTACGGGACAATAAAAAAAATACAAAAAAAAAAATCACGCATAATGGATAGCGAACGCAAATAATATTATGTAAACAAGATGGTATTATTAAAATGAGTCACCATTAGTAAAGCTAATTATAGGTAACAAGAATATTAACTAATATACCATATCGTAAATATTACACAACAACTCTAGCAATTATTTCTCGTCTTAATTCCGATATTTCACTACTTGCAGTTAATACAACACTATTGTTTCACTCGACGGTCACCTTTGGGCACTCTCGTTCCGGTTTCCTCGTCACGTGTTGCCCAAACTATTGGATTCTCAGCGGCGCCCGTAGGCCAGCATGAATCTCAATTCGCATATTGTATTATAAATAATATATATGCGGCCGGACCGCGGATAATCAACAGTGTTTTGTTCTCGCCCGACACCGTTTGTGTTTCTAAAAATCTGTTGTAAAACGCACGATCTAATGAACCACACCTATACGTGTAGAAACTATTGGATTTAAAACCTTCTGATACAGATAGTAGGTATATAAATGTATAATAGTATAATACTCCGAGAAATTCGCGGTGTAAATATATTGTGCTCAGACAAGACTGCAATTTATATTCAAAAACCAACGACGGCAATTTTATGTAATTCGGACACACCGCTGTATACTTAATGTGAAACGCGCTATTTTCGCGTTGTTATATAAATTCGAGGCACCGTAAATGTATAGCTGGTGTGCTTCCCTTGTATTTTAGTCGGAAGACAAACCCAAGCCAGACGATATTATTTAGGGCCACTGTTGTTGTTGACCGAGAACTAATAATAACACTGCAGCGAACAAAGAAAACGTAGTGGTATAACGACCGACGGCACAGCGCGAACAAACACTTTGTTATACACCACGCATTAAAATTGTTTTTTTCCCGCTTATTTTATTATTATTCGTGTTATCCTGGTTCGTGTTGGTCCATAAGTACGGTATACACCGCAATAATGAATAACATCACGGCTACGGCCGAAAAAAATCGAGGCATTTAACGCGAACGAGTTTTTTTTTTTCCCCCCGATTGATATTTTAATACGGATTTTAAGATTATTGACTCGTTTATCCTCATCGGGGGGACAGGGTGGGTTTCCACTTAATAAAACGCGATATATTTTACTGTTTTAATAAATTGACTGATACTACTTGTACAAATTTAGTAAAAACCACCCACGTAATTAACTCTAGTAAAAGACCGATTCCGAGACCCCATCTCTCAGTCCCTAACATAATTTCGGTAGTATACAAACGTTATCGAAAATCTAAGACAATTGTAAATAAACAAAATCCGTTGAATTGGTCTAAACAAAAAAAGAGTATAGTTTTGATTTTTTTTTTTTTTTCATTGTTGCAAATTTTGTCTATAAAAATTACTTTAGAAAATTAAAATTAATTTTCTAGTGTTTATTATTTAAAAACTGTATATTATTTAAAGTATATTTAGAGTTTATACCCGGTGGTGCGGTAAAAAACGTTTCTATACTATTAATTGTTTAGTACTAGAAATATGTTCATGTATTTGAAATATTTTGGTTGGTTATTTTGGGTAATTTGTTTAATATTTGCTTACAGAAGCACTTCAAGAAACTAGGTACGGGAGTTAAAAAAAAATAAAAAATAAAAATTCACTTTTCATATATGTTAAAACTATATTTGTAATATACACTCAGTAATATGAGGATAAGTGTACGCAGTTATAATCGGGGTTCGATTTGCTGCCGGAAAGCCATTTGACGCGGCCGTTCTCGTCCGGAAAACAGTGCTAAATCGAACCCGAGACTATCGCTTGCCAGGCGATTGTTCTACTACTAATTTACTTGGTACCTGACTTCCAACACTATTTCCGCTGAATTTGAACGGTCTAAATTCCCGGATTCGGGTGGTTGGTGGAAAAGCCGTGTGTATGTTCAGAGAACGATGTGGCGCTCGAAAGATTTGTATAATTTAAATAATGTAGTATACAGAGTGATTTTTTTATCATTAACTAGGAATTATCTCAGGGGATTTTAAGTGAATTTGATTTCTGATATTTCTGATCATTATGGAATTTTAAAGCCATTTTTAAGTTTTCTCCTACTCCGTGTACTTTAAATAAGTATATAATTTTGATTCTCAAATAGGAAATAGAGGAAAAAGGGGGCCCCCCTTTTGAAAAAAATATTTTCTTTTTAAATATTTGTTCAAAAGGGAGGGGGAAGTTCCCGATATTTCATTTCCGATTATGAAACTACGGTAAATCGCGAATAAAAAATTATACAGCTTTTAATGAGATTAAATATAAAAAATTGGGGAAAAAAATACATTGTTCTTCGGCATACGAGTAGACAGACACAAATAGAGTATAAAGATATTATACTATTTATATGACAATATATAATATACCAGTAAATATTAGATTGTTATTATTTTGTGTCCACCTATAATTATCATCATTATTATATTTTTTTTTTTTTTTTGGTTTGTGATTTGTAAAATGATCGGAAAACTAATTTTGTACGTGATACAATATTTATTACCGCCATTTTTCATCAAAGTATACCTATATTTTTTAATACGCCGAGTACCTGTCCATAGTATTTTTATAACGACTTACTATATTATATTTATACATACAGTTTGTCAAGATGGGCGTATTGCAGTGTTAGATATCGATTTAAAATTGTATTGCAGTGTTATATAATTACGATAGTATGTTTTTACCGCAAATCTGATGTGATCGGAATAGACGGTATTTCCACCACCATGAACGGATATTTCATTACTTATTATAACTATATTTTTAATAGTCGACTCGAATTTAAAAAAAAAAACCTTCGATTTTCGTATTATATATTTAACGTCATACCGTATAATGTTTGTTGCTGTCGATAACTTTGTAATTGCGTACCTATATTAATAACTTTTTAGCGGTTTCATTTTTTTCCTCGATAATCTTTTATTATTATAAATACCGAGTAAGATTTGATCAGACTTACCGGGGAAAACTTACAACTCACGTCAAATATTCTTTTAATCGAGTCTTTGAATATATATTATACGTATACATATATTAAGACCGCGTTTAACCGGGGATTCGATTTCAAATATTAGTGCTTGCATCGTTTTATATAGCTCGTAGCTAAAATTTGTGTAAACTTCTTAAATTCATTCACGAGTTTACAGTGAATTTGAGATTACCGCCATGCCTGATGTAATGTGACGGTTGTTTTATTGATTTATTTCTTACAAATAATGATCTTTTTCCACAAACAGCCCCGGAATTCGCGTTTAAAAACCACAAAATATAGTAGCAAAAGCTGATAGTTATTTTTTTCGTTTCAATTCGTATACCTACGGACAGTCATCGGTTTACATTTTATATTCTGTTCGGTATAGTTCATTCTCAAAACTCAGTACGATCGCAATAATTATTATCAATAATATGGGCTCAAAAATATACAATAAACTAGATTTTTAACCGGTGATAAGTTTCAATTCGTCATTTAATTCGAGAACGATCCACATTGTGATAACTATTGTGTTAACAATTACGGTCTTGGTCGACGCGGTAAGAATGATAAAAAATATGGATTCAACAGTTATCGCCGTATAAAAATATACCATAGGACCATTGGCCCTGAATTAAATGATTGCCATGTAACTTCAATCAAAACCGTCAATATGACGTGGCAGTTTGCTATCTAGTTTATTGTATGTATCTGTGACTATACCTATTCCTCCTATATTCCTATTCTCGATTTTACTTAAATTCTCATAATTAAATTCAATTAAACTAATTTTACACGTGCGTTTTTAGTACTAAAATTAAACTTTGTTTCACCGAGCCGAGGACGTCTTCCTACAGGCCCTTCCCCCTAAGTTAACTGTCTATCGCTGTCCTCTTTCGTAAACAATATTATTGTCTAACCTATAAAATACTACACTGAACGGAATCTATAGTCATCGAGTCTCTGTACAGCAGATTAATAAATTTTATTTCAGTAAACAATTGGATAAGATATAATAATTTTTTTTTTTTTTTTTTTTTTTACTGACCGTTTCGTACAGAAGACGTTCGAGCCATTATCAAGTAGCTGGACAACAACATTCCCGTCGCGATGTGAATCCGATTGTGTACGCCGAATAGTGTTCCCATATTATTCTATAAAACAACGGAAAATAATGTAAAACAGAAATGTATAAATTATATACATATATATTAATTTATAATAAAAATATTTCTGAAAATGTACGGTTTAAATCTTTTGAATTATACGACCGTAATTTTCAAAACAAAAAAATTATATATATATATGTATAGTTTGAGTTTTGAACACCGGTCAATTATACCTCCGTCCGTTTCATCGTTTTATTCGCTGTGAACGGTTCAATATTATCATTTTTTTTTTTTTTTTTTATAACCTCGCGATATTATTGTAACTCGATTTCATCATACCTATGTTAATAATATAAATATACGCGGAAAAAATACCATTCATTAATTGTGTGTTCAATATACGTATTATAATTTATACCCGCTTGTATATTATGTTACGGCTAATGTTGAATATTGGATAACGTTCAGTAGAATCGATATTGCGCTGTTAGTTTGAATATACGAACATTGTCCGTGTTTGTCTGTTGGTTTTTATTTAATTCGGTACCTATTTAAATTTTTTATGCGAGATACAAAGACGTTTAAATTGCAATGCATGTATCTTGCTGAAAACTGTAATATCGGAAAAAAAAAAACGTTTTGCAAACACGGACAACGTTTTTACGATTAAGTTCGAAATTAGACCAATTCACTATAATATTAAAACTAACAGCCAATGATCGGTTAACATTATCTAATTTTCAACATTGGTCGTAACACACATGTAGGTATTAGGTGTAGTAGGTAGTCTCATACAAAACTCCTGCCGTATAATTTGTTGCGTCTATCTTGGCGTTAATTTGGCCTTCATAGAGGTACCTTCCAGTAAATCGTTTGAAAACAATTGTCCGCAAACAAACTACCATCGAAAACATTTGTTCAAAAACAAAAAAAAAATGTTTATTTAAGTTCTATTTGTGCCACTCAACACGATTTATATATGAATGTCCGATGAAATTAGGCGATGAAGTAATTTTGAAGCAGTAAATTCGGTCTTAGCATTTAAATTTTTCCATAGCACATTTCCGACACGTTCTTTCGTTATAAACATTCGCATGAATGTATACAATAATCCTTCATATACAAACAAGGTACTTATTTTTTAACTTTTTGAGTACAGCAGAGGACAAGACGTGATAGAAAATGAATACAAAAAAATGCATTGCAATAACTTATATCCGATCGAATGTATCAGACGGATTTATAGTCCACTATAAATTTATAGTCCACTGTACATCATTATTATTAATATTTTTTTTTCGATCAAAAGTAATTTGATTAATTTACGAGTGCGATCAATTGTATTCGATCAATTTTCTATAAAGTATCAATCAATAGGACCATTCCCCCTTACAGGCAGTTCTTCAATAACCTCTCTCTTCATCGCCATAATTTTCTAATTTGGGCCCCCTAAAGCGTCTATAATGTCATCTTTCACTAAATTGCCCCATCTCTTTTCCGGTTTTCCCAACGGTCTTTTCCCTGTCGTGTTCTGTTCCAGCACTATTCTAATTGATTGTGGTATTGCATGCTCAGCTATCGGAGGTTTTTTATGGTCTCTATAGTGATTTTTTTTATTGCCATGCACTATTTTTAGTTCTTGGTTTTTTCTTCTCCTCCAATATCCTTTATTGATGAAAGGATCTCTCGCAGTATTTTCCTTTCGGGAATCAATAACTTATTATCGTCCGTTTGCATTGGCTAGGTTTCAAATGAATACGATATTATGGATTTATATTGTTGAATCTTAATTACAAATAAAATCATAATTAATTGTTCTAAATTAATATGTTATTCTAAATCGATGGAATACCGTAATTTATTGCCAAGTATAGATAGGTACTTGATCTTGATTTGAAAGGAACTTACTGGGTAGTAGAAAACGGCCAATTTTCCTCGACATGCATCGGGAATAGAGAGGACTTACCTATATTTTTTTTTGTCTTTTGTACAACTATATATAATATTTTCTTGTTTTTTTTTTTTATCTTTTAAATGTCAGACCTTTGGGAATAAAAGTATGTGTGTGTGAATGTCTATACGTTTCAATACCACGCGATGCGACCTAAATGGACTTTTATTAGCACAGGAACTGGAGTAAAACCCTGGGCAGTTATGTTATGTTTTCTTTCCCCCCCCCCTCAACTCCGCCGCCCTACCATTATTACAAAAAAGGACTAAAAAAATAAAAAAAAACAACAAACGGTCCTTTGTCAATAGGCGAGTTCTCATATGTATGTTTCTCTATAGAAGGAATACCGTACACATAAAATACATATAAAATAAAAACACTACTAAATAAATCTAATTTTCTAAAGAAAATATTTCTATTTTATGTATTATATTTTAGTATATTTACCATCGAAGCGTTATGGTTAAATACAGTTTTTGTTACTCTGGGTAATACTTTCTTGAAAACTGTTTATTATTATCGTTGTTGACGAATTTAATTGCTGGTTTGCAAATAACGAAATATTTACTAGTTAGATAATTATAGATAACTAAATAATATAATATGGTATGATATAATTATTGTACTCAAAATCCCGAGTTAATTGAGAATAACTAATGTTTTATTTACTTTGATGTTTTAGACTCTGACTGAAGTGAGAAATATATTGGTTTTAGAAAGATGTTTATTTTTTTTTTGGGGGGGGGAAGTTTCATAATAATTGTGAAAAACCGAGCAAAAACATTGGAAAAACCAAAAAATTTACGAAATGTACTATTTTCAAACTGTAAATATTACGGACTTTCAAGAAATGTATAATTGAACTTCACTCTAAATCATTTTTTGTTGGCAATGATATACATTAAATTGTCTGTCTACCTTCCCAATTTTTCGCCTAAAAAAGGCTACAAAAGTGGTCCATCCATCATGCGATGTAAGACCGTTTTTTTTTTTATTTTTATATAGGAAAATCAAATATTGAGTCAAATATAATCGAACAAAAAAGTAGAAAAACTGCTGTAGGTACATTATTATACAAATTATAACTCGCTCTAAATTATTAAATTTGAAATTATTTCCCTTTTCACGCTCTCGTGATGGGTCAATTGTAATAATAGACCTAACTTTTAATATTTTTTAATAATACCTAAAATCCTATCCTGTCGCCATGATAATTATGATAGCGAAGCGATTGCCAAAAACCAGTTATAATAAGTAATTCTCTGAATTTTCTGAAATTTGTTGAAAGTAATTTTTAAACTCTAAAAGTAATTTTTCCAATAAATTTCCGAAGTAATAAAAAATGAATTGCTCATATGACAAAATAAAGTTTAAAAGATGTATTTGAAATTCTGCAGTTTTATTCGTATGTTGCATTTTTTATAATATTTTAGCAAACGAAAAATCGATCTACTCAATAATTGATATTATAATAATATGACATTATACGTTTTGAATAGGTTTTTATATTATTAAGATGCGTTACAACATATCGTGTCATAAGACAACAGTAACTTCATATTGCATTCAAAAAATTATAATATTCACATTTTGTTCCTACGCATTTCAATGTTTAACATCATATTGTTTTATTGATATGCATATTCAACGCTACTGAATAACATTTTTGTTCTTTTGAAATTGTCTGTACAATAAAACGGTATTGTTTTACCGCGGACAACTTCCTGAAAAATGTCGGGGATACAAAATAATGTACCAATAAGATAACAGAAAATATTTATTTTTTGTTTCTCGTTTCGAACATTTGCTATTAAATGACATAAATTTTTCACTTGAGGGTTTTAAAAATATATTTTTGTAAAAATAATAACTTATCATCTGCCTACATATATCACTGTCTACATGAACCTCAAGAGTTAAAATTGAAATTCGTCAAACACAATAGTTTCTATAGTTTTGTCTGCTATTTATGTTTAAATCGATTGTAAATTTCACCCTCATATATATACCTGTACAATAATATTAGTCAAACCATGTACAAAATAAAAATATTTTTTACTAGTTTACGCGTAATAGATACGTTTTTATTTATTTTTTCTTTCTAGTGGTATAATTGTCGATAGTTAATAGAATTAATAATATGCGAAAATAATTAAACCAGGCCAGCGGAATAAGAACAGTTAAAAAAAAAGAGAAAAAGTACTAAGGTACTTCGGCATCATAACACAATTGTCCAGTTTTTCGAACTTTAAATAAATAATATACTTAGCTCTATGCAAATTCAGTAGGTGGGTGTCTGCCTATAAAGATAATTTTCAATTTAAATAAAATTACTCACGGAAACTTCTTATTTCTTTAGACTCGGAGAAAATTAATTAAAAACTTGAACTACCTACTACAGAAGAACAGGAATTAAAACGAGTAAAAATATAATTATTTACAAGAAAATTGTTATCTTTTGAGTTTTGAGGTATTATTTAAAAACATTAGGGCGCACGTAAACTACACTATTGTTTATTTTAATTTCGGAACTCTTGGCTCTTTACAGACTCCGTGTAAATAAAACGTGTTCAATAAAACCAAAAGATTCTTGTATATACATTTGCATCAATATTAATGAACACTTTTAAATATATTTATTTTTCAGTAATTAAATTAAATACTTATTATATTAATACAAAAAAAAGATCTAAGAATACACAGCCAGTTTACTGTCCATTTAGCATACAACAATTTTGGTTATTTTGCTAGACTGTTGAATGGTAAACTCATTTAATTGTATGGCCTTTTAAATAGTTGTACCTAAATAAAGATGCAAATATATTTTTGAAAAAATTGTGTTTTTGTGATTTTAATCGCACAATATAAAGATCGTATAGAATTTTCAAATTGCTCAATAAAAACGAAAAACAAACCATCATGCAACTTTAACAATATATTTTTTGTAAAAGTTTAAAGTACATTTCAATAAACATAAAAATGTAGTACACTATTAAAAAAAAAAAAAATGAACCTATAAACAGTATAGGAAGCTTTTTGAATATAATATTACTACCTACATTATTAATAACTGTTTTGAATATGGTGCAGCAAATAAGAGAAGACTCCGCTGCTTCGTATATCTCATATACAATCCCGTTGTAATGAACCGTTTCCCCGGGAATCCTCGTACGATACTAAGTATTGTTCAATAAATATTATATTATTACACCATTATAATCATTTAATCTTTAGTACTTGAAATAAAGTTTTTTTTTTTTTTTTGTTTATTAGTCATAAAAACCGCAGTTATTACGGTAGATAGTCAATTATATT